TTCAAAACCGTGCAGCTAGCCCCAGTTATCCATTTGGCCGCCCCGCAGGGGACTCAGGCCTTGTCGGGCCTTGAACAAAAAGACGTGACCCCAGTGACCTTCTCTTTCCCGCCCACAGCTGCCTCACCACCCCAGAAACACGGCCCATCTCTGAGGCAGCACCTGGATCCAGGCCTCTGTCTGGACTCCACACCTTGGCAGCCATACCTGTCCACACCTCCAGTGCCAACCCCCATCTAAGTGTTGGGGCTCTCTGTCCGCCCCAGCTAGCCCCAGGGGTAACCTCGGACCAGAGGTTTTGGCTCACATCTCCCCACCTGGCAAAGGCCACCCTGTTCCTACTAATCGCTGCCTTCTCTGAGTGGACTACTGGTCACAGCAAAACTGAGGCATAGCCAGGCAGAGATGAGGTCTTCCTGCCGCCATGATCCTTCCTGGGTCCCCAACCTCCGAACTCCCTGCAGCCCCCTTGCCAGACATCTCACTGTGAACCAGAGGCCCCCTTCAGACAATGCCTCATCTGTCCCTTCCCAGGCTTGTCTAAGCAGAGCTCCAGACCAGACATCTCCTGGGATGTTCCGGCCTCTGCTCCTTCCACCTGCTCCTCCTCCTTGGGGTCCCCATCTCATCGCCCCCAAGCCAGATTTGAGGAATCATTCCTGTCGGGTCTTTGCCGTCGCCTTTTGTTTTAGGTCCCCCAAACTGACTTTCAGATGTTTCCCAAATGCACCCGGATTCACGTTTTCAGACATCTGCGCACGCCGTGCCCCCAACATGGGGCACCATTTCCCTCTTCCTGTAGTTGGCAAACTCCTATTCTTTTGGCAGAGCCTTAGCCCAACTGCCCTTCTCCCGCTTCCCGCCCTGCGCTCCCCTGGCCAGGAGCTCGCGCACACAGGGTCGGGGGAAGAGACAACAGACAATGGCCGGGCTTGAAAGGCGGGTGCACGCGATCGCACCCGTGCGGGGGTCCACGTGCAGCACCCTCAGGTACGCCCCCCTCTTCCATCTCAGAGCTGCAGCGGTCGTCAGACCCCTTGGCGCGCCTCCCGCCCCCAAATTGCGGACGTGCGGCCAGAGGGAAAAGGAGGTGGCGGGGGGCGGGGGGGGGGGCCACACGCCCCCGCGCCGCGCCTGCGCACTCGGCCTGGCCACGACGCAGTCCCGCCTCCGGCAGCAATCCCGCGCGGCTATTGGTACGAGCAGAGCAGCGATTGAGGTGGCCGCCAATGAGGCGTCCCAACAGTAGGCGGGGCCTGAGCCTTTCAACGCTAGGACGGGGGCGGGCGGGGCACCCGCCTCACAGTGACGTCAGGCCCGGTTCGCGGCCCGTTGCCATGGAAGCCGCGTTTCCATCCCTGCGGGCTTCCGGGGGCCGCCCCCTCCCATTCAACTTTTTCCTCCCTGAGAGGAGGGGTTGGTTGGTGCAGGGCCGTCCCCGCCTCCTGTGATTCCGCAGCCCCTGCCTACACTGGGCCTCAATTTACCTTTTTGTGCTGCCCACGCCCACGTGGCCTGACCGGCCGCCTCTCAGGTCGCTGCACCCCTTCGGCTGGGCGCCTCTCCCTCCTCGCCCCCCACCCCCCCCGCAGGCGTGTGCGTTTCAGGCCCGCACAGCGGGAAGGGACCAAGGGCCACAGTCCCAACCCGGGGTGGGGTTCTAGGACTCCCGGGTAGGGCTGTGACCCTCGGACCCCAGGGTTGGGCGCCAGACAGCGCCCTGAGGAGTACCCGGCAGTAGACCAAGTGCCCCCCCGCCCTGCACCGTGCAGACACAGCTCCTGTGATTCAGCGGGTGCCTTGATCTACACCCTCCTTCCTTATCCCCTACCCAGCCCTGCAGTGGCCAGCTGGTTCACAGCCCTAATCTCCGGGGGTCCGGCTGCGTGGGCAGGGTGTTCGACCTTAACTGTCCCATCCCCACCTCCATCTTGTGGTCCTCCGAACCAGAGGGGACATTTGCGCTTTTGACCTTAAGGTCTGAAGGTATAAGGTAGACCCGGGCATCCTACCTTCCCGGCTTGGTTGTGCGATGATTTAGGGGTGACTGGGTGGCAGGAGGGGCAGAAGGGCCTTAGCAAGTGCTCCCAGGACACTCCTGGACTGCACCTGTTCCCTTCCCCTTGGGTGGGGCTCCTGGAACTGGGGCTTAGGAGGGCTGGGTCTTGGCTACAGGAAATGAGCCTAGGGATGGTGGTCACTAATTTAACAAACACCCTCAGTGCTCTGGACCAAATGGTATTTCTCTCTGGGCCTGGGTTCTCTCATCTACCAAGTGGGAGGATAATTAGTTCTGTTAGGTGACTGTTTTAAGTGAGGAAATACATGTAAAACGACCTTCAGTATTATGGTGTGTCTCTGCCCAGCCCCAAAGTGGATGAAGGTGGGACTTGCCACCTGGCCCGGCCCTCAGGGAGCCCCAGGTGGGCTGTGGTGGAAGACGCAGGCTGGGGAAGTTCCCAGCCAGAGCTGGGGCACTAGGAGTGTTCCTGGGTAGGGCACGGACCGAGCAAAGGCCTGGAGGCTTGATCGCAATGGTCAGGGCTGGGGAGAGCTGGAATGCAAAGCTTGGCAGGCCGAAAGGAGTCCACTAAGGGTCAGGGTGGAGCCAAACTGACGGGCCTTGAGTGCCTGCCCTAGGCCCTGGCTTGACTCTGGGTGCGATGGGTGTCGTGAAGGCCTGGCGCCACCCCCCCAGGGGTGGAGCTTGGGCCAGGGGTCCTCAGGCTGCCCCCCCCCCCCCGCGCGCGTGGGCGGGCGGATATAACTACTTCCCCCTTTCTGTGGCTAGGGAACCCGTGGCCCCGAGTGTGCGGCCAGGTCTCCCTGGAGACAGTCTTTGGGCTCGCCTGCAGCCCACTTAGAACTGAGAGGCCCCACCCAGGGCACACAGCCCTTGGGCAGCCCCTTGCCCACACCCTGCAAGACTTCCGGCCTTGGGTACCGGGAAGTGGCCGGCCCCTCCCTCCCTTGCCAGACAGCTTCCTGCCCACCCTCACCCCAGGGCGGGGAGGGAGTGTGGGAACTGTTATGGGACGCGCCCCTCTCCCCGCAGCCCTTCTACTCTCCCACTCTCCGGGGTGGTGGGCTACCTCAGCATCTGACCTGGTGGCCCTCCTGGTAAAGACCACCCTCTCTCATACTCAGAACGCCCTCAGTAACCACTCCACCCTCCAGGTGAGCAGGCCGGAGGTACACTTGTGTTTCATTTTCTGTTTATTCCTTGAAGTCACCGTGTTTGTGTAGGCTTCTTTTCCAATCTCATGTTTTCATACAGGAAACTCTCGCAAGGTGCTGGGACACCCCACAGACCGACCTCCCCCCCAAGGTGGGTAATGCTTTCTGGGGAGGGGAGGGGCCCTCCCAAGGGCAGAAAGGGTGGACAGTTCCTGCCTGGGGCCTCCACCCTCAGACCAGCGGAGGCACATACTGTTATTTAAAAATCGTTAAAAAAAAAACCATCAGAACACACATTAAATAGATATCCAAGACAGCGTTTCAAAAACAAACCCGCCCCTTTTTCTTTTTTTTGGAAAAATGAAAATAAAAACAAAATCCTTGACCCCTCCCCTCTGACCCCCCCTGCCCTCCCACCCCCCCCCCACAAAAAATGTACAGAGCTACAGTTAACACAAGATGTTCACATCTGAAACCATTAACTTTAACACATAACCTGGGGTAGGGTGAGGACCTGGGGTTCATCTAACAAGGAGGGGCAGGCAGAGGGTGGGGGGAGTGTTGCGCAGCAGAGGGGCGGGGCCAGGACAAGACTGACAGGTGGGGGGCAGGGCCCAAACGTCTCCATTATCAGTAAAAAATAAATGAATGAAAAAATAACTCCACCCCCACTGAAATGGCCCCAATAATGGGGAGGTCTGCCCCTCTGCCCTGGGGATGCCCCTGGGACAGGGGCGTGAGTGGGGGGGGGTCCAAATTAGACCAGCAGCGAACCCCCCCCACGGGGGGTTAATGCTACACAGCTTTGCCCCTAGTGGGGGTTTCACAGCTCAGCACCCCCGCCCCTCCTGGCTGCTGAAGGGCCCCCCAGACACAGTCCACAGGCCCAGATCCCTCAGGTTGGGTGGGGAAGAAGGGCCGGGGGTGGGGCATCAACCCCGGCCCCGCCCCCCAGCCATTTCTCTCCCTATTTTTCAAGAGATTCCCAACCACTATTGGCTCAGTCAGAAAATTAATAGTCTATAAATACCCCAAGCGCAGAAAAACGGGGTGGGGTGGGAGGAAACGCACAGTGCGTGGACGGCGGCGAAGGCTGGCGGCAGGCTCCTCCCCCCTTTCCTTTCCTGGCAGGAAAGGGTCCCCAGCCCGCACCCCAAGGCAGGCTCTGGCCAGCCTCTCCCCTGAAACGGCTTTTCTTTTCTTTTCCAGGAAAAAGGAACATGGAAAAGGAAATCAGGAACAAGAGTTCGAACATGGAAGAGAAGCAATCCCTGGCAGTCATGGGCTTGGTCGCGGTTGACGCGCACCTGACCGCGGGGTTCCTCGCCCGGTGGTTTCAGAGCCAGGGTTTGCGGTGGGGGCTCTCTTCTCCGTGGCCCCCTCCCCTGTCTGTAAAGTGCATAATGAGGCATCTACGTTTTTGACTTAAACCTGAAAGGAGTGGGGAGGGAGGCAGAACGGAAGGGGGGGGCGGCTTCCTTGTCTCCGCTCTCTCTCTCAACCATCTGGAAAGACTGCTACATATTTGGAGCTTGGGAAGGTGGGTGGGAGGGACCCAGTGCAGGTCGGGAGAAGGATGAGGCAATGGAGGAAGGGGCGGGGAGTGTGAGCCGAATCAAGGAGGCAGGAACCCAAGTCCACGGAGAGTTCGGAAAACCATGGTAGAAATTGAAATTTTAAAAAAGAAAAAGAAAAAAAAAAAAAACCACCGGAAGGACACGGAACCGGGAGGGGGGAGCCTCTTGCTGCACCGAGAGACAGCCTGCCCTCCCGTTCGAGGCCACACTGGCGGCCACCCAGGGCTGGGGCGAGGGACAGGGTTCCTAGGCCACCACGAACTCTGATTTGATGTCGGGGTTCACTTCTGGCTTCCAGACGGAGTCCTCGAAGTCGAGGCCCAAGCCGGCCGCCTCGCTGGGGCCGCCACCTCCCCCACTGCCGGTGCTGTCGCTGCGGCCGGCCTTGCGGCTCGGTGGCCAGTGGTAGGGACCGCGGGCATCACGCCGGGCCTTTCTGCGGAGCCGTTTCTGCTGGAGCAGCAGCTGCAGGCGCTCCACCTTACAGCGGGTGGCTCGGTTCTCTGTCTGCCGCAGCCGGTCCCCTACAGAGGACGCAGTGGGTGTGACTGTGAGGGTCCCCTGGAGGCCAGAGTCCCAAACAAATGCAAGGATCCCCAGCAGCTGCCCCTTGATATCAGGCCCAACCCAGGACACTCCCTCCAGCGAGGGAGCCAGGCAAGAATATCTACTGAACCTTCCATCAACTGGGCTGTCAGCTCCATGAGGGCAGGGCTGGCCCAAGACAGCCTTTAGTGACTCAGCTGTCATGAGCACTAGCTGCTCAGGCTATATGTGTTTCCCCTTCAGGACCCAGTCTCGGGCCCACTTCACAATTCTGAAGGACTCGGAATGTGTCCGGAATAACCAGGTTTTGTGGGGGCAGGGGGGCGCAAGCTGCCCTTGAGCAGGAGGAGAAGCTGACCCCCTCCCTCCCTCAGGCTGACTGGGCCATTCACATTGGTTTCACCCACCATCTGGAGAAGGTGCCCAAGGGGGGTGAGGAGGAAGTGCGGATGGAGCCCCCTCTGGAGGACACAAAGACACTGTGTGCCCCAACACACACACTCCCTTCTCTACAGGCGCCTGCAGAGCAGGGTGAGCGGCAGCTGGCGGCCCCCTCCCCACCACCGGGGGCTCAGCTGCTGCAAGAGGCACACAGAGGGGCCTTGAGAGACCCATTGAGGGGGGGTGCAAGGGGGACACTTACCCGGGGGCTTGCACAAGCGGGCCTGGCTCAGGGAGGCCGGGGCCGCGGCCGCCAGCTTCTCGCAGGAGGTAGTTTTGGGGCCGAGGTCTGGGGTGCACTGGGCGTGGCAACGCAGCTGTGTGAGTGATGGGGGCATGCCCTGGTAGTGCCGTGTGGCACTTAGGAGGTCATTGAGGATCTGTAGGATGGTCCCGATGTCCCGCCTCGGCCGCCCACTGCTGTCCTGGCAGTTGGGGTGCAGCGTGCCTGTGGGGAGACATGGATGAGGACACCCCTGGCTGACTCGGGCACTTGCACCCCCCATTGGGGACCTGTGGCCAGCTGTATAGCCAGCCACATGCGTGGCGACCCCGGGGAGTGTCTCATCCCTAAGTGTGTGTTACTGCTCATGGGGACACTCTGACACCTACCAGAGAACGTCCCTGAGAAGACCCCTGGGGCGTGGTTCACGAAGCTCTCGATGACTGCGCCAGGTTTGCGGGAGCGGGAGGTGGGGCTGCCCCCAGTGGGGGACGTGGGGCTGGCACCGGTGCCGGCAGCGGGGGAACAGTCCATCTGCTGATGGGGGAGGAGGGCACGTGAGCTTGGGGTGTGAGGGTAACCCCTGGGGTTCAGGGCCAGGGGATCACCCATCACACCACACAAGCCCAGGTTGTGGGGAGAACTATGGGATTCTGGATACAGAAGACATATCTGGGGCTCTGCCATCCTCCCGCTGCACCCTTCCCCAGACTCACCTCGGGGCAGGTGGTAGAGGCTGAATGGGAGCGGAAAGAGCCGGCAGTGACAGGTGAGGATGCGGGGGCAGGGCTGGTGGGCACTGGGGGGACGCGGGCGGCACTGGACACTGGCCGGCAGGGAGAGGACACAGGGGTGGTGGTCATGCTGGGGTCCCCGCGGGTGGCAGCGGCGGCGGCAGCAGCCAGCACGTGGCGGTGCTGCAGTGGGGCATGCTGGGCTGCAAGCTGCAACTGGACAAACATCATGTGGTCCCCCACACGCAGCGCCAGGGTCAGCGGCGAACGGCCTGACAAGAAGTCACTGACCTGCAGAGAGAGGCCCGTCAAGCCTAGGGCCCTAGCCCGCAGTGCCCCCAGCCCGGCCCAGCCCGGCCCCCCACGCTGTGTGACCTGGGGCCTCTCGCCGCCCCTCTGTGGGTTCTGGGGTCCCTGTCGGTGCCACGGATGCTTAAATAAAATGAATCGGTATTTCCGGAAGCCGCCTCCGCCAGCCCGGCCCAGGTCGGGAGCCGCTGGGGGCTGTGGGGGGACAGAGGCAGATGAGACGGGGGCCTGGCCCACCCTGGCCAACTTGGTTCTTTCAAGGGGAAACCGAGGCCAGAGGGGGCGGGGCCCAGCCGGCATCTCTGCTCTCAAATAACCCCCAGCTCACACCTCTCCCCACCCTCTCTCTGCCTGCACACTGCAGGGGCTAGGCTCAGGCCCCCTCCCAGCTAAGCTACTTGGGCAGCGAGTGGGAGGAATTCCTGGACAAATTCTTGTCCTAACCTTTGCTTTCTCAAGATAAATATTTATCTGTCCTGGGCAGGGCTGAGGCTAAAGGGGAGGCGTTGCCTCTGCCAGCAGTGGGGGGGCCCTGACCATTCACTGTGGCCTGAGTCCCCCAAGGCCTCAATACAGCCCATGCAAACATGAATCTCCAACCTGGCAACCCCTTTGGAGCAGGTGAGGAGCCCATAAGATCCCCCTATCTGCACTGGCCCCCTCCTCTGGGGGCCCGCCAGCACTGCACTCTCCCCAGGGGCCGGGATTGTTGGGGGGGGATGGAGGTTTCTGAGAAATGACACAGGCCCGGATGACTCAGAACCACCTCCTCCCTGCTCTCTGCTGGCAGAGGCTGGTGTAACCTTCCCTGCTTGGGGGCCGTGGGGAGGAGGCAAAGGAGGCGGACAGAGCGCACTCCCCACTCCCCGCAGCCCCTTCTGCATGTGCCCTCCCCAGCCCGAGATGCCCTTTGCAAAAAGGGCCTGGGTGGCTTTGTAAGAATGGCTGCCCCCCCCCCAACTCCACCCTGCAACTTCCTCCCAGGGGAGGGCGAAGGGGCAGGCATGACTTGGTGCCAGGCAGGGAAGCAATGCTGGGAGCCCAGTCACTCCGCCCAGCGCCTCCCCAACTCCCTCCTGACGCAGGCACCCTGGGGCGGATGTGAACCCAACACGCCCCAGGGGCCCCCTGCCAACCACAGCACCACCCCCCTCCACAGGAGCAGGGAGCTCAGGTCACATCTGCCCCAAAAGCACACCCCCAGCTGACTCCCGGCTCTCCCCCCACTCCTCTGCCCCTCCCAATGGCGGACCACCCAGCTCCCGGGGCCCCTCCTCCTCCCCTGCGCTAGCCGGCTGGCGAGGGCAGGACGCAGCACGCCGGGGAGGGGGCGAGGGCCTCGGGGCAGGAGGAAGGGAAGCCGCTGAGCAGGTTCTGAGGCCGGGGGCCAGCCCAGCCAGGGAGGCTGAGGACTTGCCACCCCCACCCTGGCAGCAGGCGGATAGCTGAGGCCTGTGTCACCCTCCTAGGAGGAGGGCCCCGCTGCCAGAAAAATGAGGAAAGGAGGGGAAAAAAAAAGCTGCAACAAAACCGGGAACCCTGTGTGGGCCAGCCCCAGCCTTCCTCCTCACCGCCCTCCCGCGCGCTTACTAAATATTTTCCTAACATCCTGTCTGGGCTGTGCTGGCCCCAGGGCTGGGTGCCCCCACCCCCTCCCCCTCCCCCTTTTGGGGCAGAGAACAAAGGCCAGAGGAAGGAGGAGTAGGGGTGACTCCCCACCCCTCACAATGGGGTCAGAGAAGGCGGAAGGAATGTCACCCAGAACCACCCCCCCATCAGAAATGTTAAAAAGGTTGCTCTGGGGAAACCACAGTCTGGCCAGGGGGAGCTCTACGACAAAGCCGGTGGGGCTGCGGACCCAGGCCCCGGTGAGTGGGAGTGGTGTGAGAGCATGGGCCAAGGTCACCCCGCAGGCAGGCTTGTGAAAGCTGGGCCCCCTCCCCCATGGCGGCCACCGTGGGAGAGAAGGCTCTCAAGGTCAGGTGGAGAGTGCTGGGGGGGCGGGGAGGAGGAAGAGGAAGCTGGGTGACCAGGCCAAGCTGGCACGAAGGCGGAGCGGCGTGTCCCCTCCCCTTCCCACAGGCCTCCTGGGAGCACAAACAACCCCTAAGCTCTCCGGAGAGGCCCGGTACTCCACCGGTTGCCCCCAGGGGTTGGGAGGGCACTGGTGCGCGTCTTACCTGGGTCTCTGTCAAGCTCTCCAGGGCCTGCATCACAGACTGTTCTGGCCTGGAGGCCTGAGACTACAGAGAGAGGAAGGAAGAAAAGGAGACCCTGAGGGTGGGCCCTGACGGAGGAGTGGGATGGAGTGGAGTGGGGTGGGGTGGGGTGGGGTGTGCAGCCCTGCAGGGAAGGGGTTCTGTGTCAATGCTGGGGGCTGTGCTCGCAGGGGAGGGGGCTGCCTGCTAACGCGGGGCTTCGGGGCTCGCTGCCCCAGCCATTTACCATGAGGCCCGCCTCCACGGTGGGCACGAGCGTCAGCTTGCTGCCATCCCCCACGCCGAACTCCTGCAGCTTCCCCGAACTGAGCCGGCTGAAGGGGGGAGGAAGGAAGAGGGTGAGGCTATATCGCCGAGACAAGGCAGGGACTCGGAAGCAGAGTCCGCGGGGGAGGGCTATGCTCATGTGGTAGAGACAGGAGTCCATCGCCCCCACCCCTTCCTGGTTTCCAGATCCAGGGCCCTGAGTTTGTGTGAAGGGTGGAGGTCAGACCCTGGGAGTCCCATGCTGGCAGTTCAGACCCCTTATTCCAAGGCACCCTAGTTCTGCACTGGGACACTCCAGCTAAGCCTCAGAAAGGCACCTTTTCACCATCCAGGCCCAGCGCGCCCCTTGGCACCCTCCTCCCACCCCGGGGCCGCCCCCTTGTAATTCAACCACCCGGGCCTGGGCTGTCCCTGCGGGCCAAGCGCTTAGCCTTTCGGGGCTTTGCCGGGCGGGCTCCCCTCCTCCCTCCCTCCCTCCCAGGCGCAAGCCGCCGCCGCTCAGACAAAGGAGACCCTCCCCCACCCTCCCCTCCCCCACCGGGCCCCTCCGCTGGGGATGGACATTGCGTGTCCCCGGAGGCCCGCGGAGGGAGGGCTCCCCGGCCTGGAGGCGATTTAAATGGCAGGGGGGAGGGGTAGACTGCGGAGAGCGCTCGGTGGCGAGAACAAAGGGGGGCAGAGAGACGCGAGTGGGGGGTGAAACAGTCAGACGCAGAGGGGGCCGCTGAACAGATGCGGAAGCCAGCGGGTCGCAGGCAGAGGAGGCCGCCGCAGAGCCCCCCACCCCCGCAGCTGGGACCCCTACTCCGCCCGGAACTCCTGCCTTCCCGTGGGCGACGCCGCCTAAGAACGACCCGAGGAGCCCTCGCAACCGCCTTTGTGCAGCGACCCCGGGCGGGGGAGGGGGCCGAGACACGCAGGCCGAGCAGAGGGCGCCCGTGAGCGCGCGGCGCGCCCCCGCCCCCGCCCCCCGTCTGGCCGCCCCCTTCCTTCCCCGAGCGGCGCGCTCTTTGTTCCCGCCCCGGGGCCGGGGCCCGAGGGGGCGGCGCGGGGGCTGGGGGCGCGCGGTACCTACGTGTCTTTGTGGAGCAGCGCCAGACGCTCCTTGGGCACTTTGAGGCGTTGGGATAGCCGCTTGCGCAGCCCTTCCACCGTCTCGTCGGGGGGCACCGACAGCTCGTAGCGGGTGCCTGTCGTGCTGTGGATGGCCAGGCTCATGGGCGCCGTCTCGGCCGTCGGGCTCAGCTCGCAGGCGCCGCCGGGGGCCCCGCGCCGGCAGCTCCGGGCGCCGCCGGGCTGCGGCTCCATCCCCGGCCCGCGCTGAGGGGCTGGGGTCCGCGGGGCGCCGCCAATTCTCGCCGCGCCTCCGGGCAGAGCGGGTTGGGGGAGAGATCCCAAACTGGTTTCTTCTGCGTCCCTGGAAGCGGGGGGCAGCGAGCGTCCCTTTGGAGAAGGTTCCACGAGTGGAAGGTGAATCAGAAATCAAAAATCCGAGTGGAGCTCCGAGGTCGCGCGCCTTCCTAGGTGGGGACTACACTCCCAATTCCTTTCCAGGGCGGCGGGCTCCGGGAAGGGTCCTAGAGGAGGGGGCGCCGCTCACCCAGCCGCGCTCAGGGATGTCTGCTACTCGGGCCGTGCTTCCCCTCGCGTCCCCTCCCTTAGCAACAGCCGCCGCCGCCGCCGCCGCCGCCAGAGGATCTGGGGGAGAAAGTAACAGAAAAAAAAGTTATAATGTATCAACGTTCCGAGGGGCGGGGCAGCCGCCCCCTCCCATTCACTACTTACTCCACCGGCCCGCGCCGACCAATCAGCGTGCGCCGAAGGCCCAGTCGGCAGCGCGGCCCGGCCAATGGGAGCCGCCGAGGCACCGCCCCACGTGGCCGCGCGGGCCCGCCCTCTCGCCCCGCCCCCGACCCGGTGGCCAGGCGGAGTGCGACGGGGGCGGAGCCGACTCCGCTCCGGCCCGCCCCCACCCCTGCCCCGCCCCGCCGCAGCCATTCATAAGGCCGGGACCCTCAACAAAGGGCGGGCGGCGGGGCGCTCGGGGCCCGAGACCCCCGGGCTGGGGTGGTCTGTCGTGGGATAAGGCGGCGGACCGAAGCTGAAAGAGTAGGAAGCCGGGGCCTCCCCCTGGGCCTGTCCGGGAAACCGCTGCAAGCGGAAGCGGGACGCGATCCCTGCGCCTCGTGGCTGGGTCCCCGCTGAAGGACTCGCGGCAGGCCCCCTTTCCCGAGAAGCGTGAAGCCCCTGCAAGGGGTGGAGCTGCGGGCGGGGCCTGCACCCCGGTGACGTGGCCGCTGCCGGACGGCCCCTCCCTCGCCTGTGCCACCTCGCGTCCCACCCCCGTCCCGCGGGCCGGGCCCGCTTCCCGAGTCTCGCCCGCCCGAGCCGTGACGTGACGCGGCGTCCCCGGCTGCGCCCGCGCGCGCCCCTCGGGGCTGCGGTGAGTCAGCAGCGCTGGCGCGCCCTCTGCCGGCCCCGCCCGGGAGCGCTGCCCAGAGACCCGGGCAGGGGTCGCCGATGCAGCCCGGGGTAGGGGGCAGTCAGACGCGACTGCGGGCGTTAAGGGAGCCTAAGAGCGTGAAGCCTCTGCGTCAGTAGACTGGGGCTACACAGTCGGGGAAACAGAGGCCAGGACGGAAACTAACTCAAGGTCACTCGCGGGGAGTGGGAGTGCCCCGGGGGCGGGGCGGGGTCAGAGGTCCAGACTGGCTCTGCCGGCAGCGCCGAGTCCTTCCCATTCCACGTCCCAAGGGGCTCCCCAGGGTTGGAGACACCTTGAACCCTGCCTGCTCAAAGAACAAAGAAAAGTAGGGCACCCTTAAGAGCCTAGAGTGAGAACCCTCTTCTTCGGCCAGCGAGGTCCCGCCCCCCACTCACCGGGAGCGGATCGTCCGAGGTCCCAACTGTCCTGAGTGTACCCACGTCCGGGACGAGTACGCGGTGGCGGAGCCGGTCTGGGGCTGAGCGGGCGGCCCCCGAGCCTTTATCCGCACCGCCTTCCCTCGGGGTGGAGTTTAGGCGGCCAGGGGGCGGGGGGCCGGGCAGTCGGTGACGCAGGCCGGCCCCCGCCCCTGCCTGTCGGCCAGGGCCCTGGGGCACCGTCCGGCCTGGGCCACACGCCCCCTAAGCTTCGCCCTTTTAAACAGGGAGGGGTGTAGCCATCCTTGTTTGCTACGAATCAAGGGTCACGGTTGGCAGCTGACGACTGAGGGCACCCGCACTCCGGCCCCCGCCATAGGGTTTTGGGGTGCACTGCTGGATTTGCTGCCCCGCCCCTTTCCTGCTACCCCAGGCTCGGTGCTTCCACTTGGGGGCGCCCGCATTGGGGAAAGGGGGGCCTGAGTCAGCGGCCTGCGTCCAGGAAAACAGGCCCGTCACCTGCCTGCAGTGGGGGTGCCCCAGCCAGCTGCCCTGGCCTCCTGCATCCCTTAACGGTGACCTCAGAGGGTATTTATGGAGCGATTCACCAGCTCCAGTCCTGCCCTGTGCATCTGTCACTACCTGCTGGGCTCTGTGACTCTGGAGGGCAGTGACCTTTGTGAGCTCCTGTGGTATGGAGTGAGAAAATACGGCAGGTCTCTCTGGAACCCCAGGGATACAGGGCCCTCACCTAAGCCTGGCAATCGACATCAGCCCATTAGGTTAGCTTACCTGCTGGTGTCCAGCCTTAGCTGCTGGTGTACTCACCCTACCCATCTTAGAGGGGATGAAACCAAGGGCATACAGCCATTGGTTTGTCTGTAGCTTTGTCCCTGCAGGTCGTCATGCTAAGGGTGACCCTGACTGAGGGCAGTTCCCTCTCCGTCCTCCTTCCCTCTCTGTCCGGAGGGGGACCCCAGGACACCCCCATCCACTTATCTGTGCCTCCCTTTATCTGACCCAACCACCTCCACCTCCACCCTTGCCCTGGGGCCCCTCCCAGGGCTGTGCTCCTTTCTAGGATGGAGCCAGTCCTCATCCTGCTCCCACCCAAGGCCCCCTAGCCTCTGCCCCCCACCCTGTCACAGGCACACCCAGACGCTCCCAGTCCCACAGGATCAGGGCTGCACCTGAGGGATGGACAAGAGCTTGCCAGAGACAGAAGAGCTCCAGGGAGGAGCAAGTCCACACCAAGCACAAGAGGCTTGAAAAGAGGGCCCCAAGGTCAGGTGTGGGACCAGGCCGTGGGCCTGCATCCAGGGAGAGCAGGGAGGCAGCATGGGGTACGTGGGCTCTGAAGCTGCAGCATCTGAGCACAGTAGGGCTCCAGGGTGGGCAGGCCAGGTGGGACCCTCAAGTCAGCAGGTGGCACTGGGTGGGGGTGTTGTGGAGACCTCAGGTGGGTCTCTGATCTCACCTGGCTGGGTTCCTCTGCCTGCAGGGGAGTGGGCTGGTCCTGACATGGGCCCCCTGAGGGGCACACACAAAGGAGGGGACCAGCCCCTGCCTGGCTTTGCAAATCCAAGTTGATTAAACGTGCCAGATCAGCCTGCTTCAGGCTCTCCTTCTCAGAAGACCCCTCTCACCTGGCTGCTGGTCTCAGGTTTCGAGCACACTCTAGGTATGAGGGCATCCCTTCCCAGGAAGGAGATGAGCACCATCTAGCCTGCGCTCTCAGTAGGGGGTCATGGTCCCTGGTTCCTGGCCGTCACCCACTCCCACCCAGGGTGCCCTGACCCCAGGACAGGACCTGGCCTATGCTGGCCATCCCTGTAGTCTATCAGCACAGAGGTCCCCAGGCCAGGCTCCAAGCATTGCCCATCCCTCAGGGGGCCTGCTCTGCGCTGTGGGGCCCAGCTGTATCCCAGTCCCAAAATGTGGCCTTGGGGCGAGGGGCCGGAGGCAGGTTCCCTGGTGTCAGGGCCGCTGCTTCAGTGGTCGGCGATGGTCTCCTTCTGCAGGCCCCCTGCCATGTCCTCACTCTTATTTATAGACCAGATAAGGAGCTGACCAGGAACTGGAGGACCTGTGCCCTAAGCCGGGGGGGGGGGGGAGGGCTGCACCTGAGCCCCCACGGCAGTTCCAGCCTTATCTGAGCTGGGGGTTCCTGGGCAAGTGGGGGCTGGCCACTTGGCCTTCACCTGCCCAGAAGGATCAAGCCCGGACAAACGCCCTCTTCAGAGCTGCAAGCTGGCATGGCAGCTCCCAGGACATCAAGCCTCAGAAATAGCCATGGGACAGTCATTTGCACGGGACCATGACACAAGACCAAACAGCCCATCCGTACCAATGAAGAGCCCTGGAGTGGCCTGTCACCTTCTAGCTGCCAGTGACACACAGGGAGGCCCAAGCTCTCCCACACATTCACTCCCCTGGAATCCCCTGCCAGCTCTGCTCAGACCCAGGGCCAGGAAGGGGGCAAGGCAACTCCTGCTGGCCACCTGAAGCCAGCTCCAGGAACACCCCTCAGTTGCAAAAAAAGGAGTGACTGGCTGAAGGAGGTGGGACAGCACTGAAGCTTCCAGGTGCCAGGACTGCCCCCGCCCAACCACCCCACCCATCCGGGGCCATTCTAGGGACCGGGGTGCCACGGAGGTGCCAACACCACCAGGGACTGGGCACCCGGCCAGCTGGGGCCACCCACAGGCCAGGAGAACACAGGGCGGGGCCTTCGTGGGAGCAGGCAGAGCCGGCCCCTTCCCAGTGCAGCTTGGGCGGGGCGCCCGCGGGGCACACGTCACAGTCTGGAACCTGGCGGATCCCTGCTGTCCGCTGGGCAGCCCAGGCCCAGCCCACAAGTGGCAAACCACACCCCTGCCCACCATCCCCAGACCCAGCTTGGTGACCTTTGCCTGTCCCCACCCTCTCGGGGTGAAGGCCAGAACCCAGCCTGGTTTTACTAGCAGTGCCCCTACCTCCCCCAGCTTACTGCAGACACTCAGGACGTTTCAGGACACAGCCTGCTGCCCCAGGAAAGCTGAAGCTGGCGTTCAGCGCCCCACCTCAGTGGGCAGACACAGGAAGCCAGCGAGACGTTGGGCTGGATCCGGAGCCCACCACCAAGCAGGATAAAATCAGCGTACACAAGTTGAATCCCAGGTCTTTAATATAGGCTGGGCAGGGGGCAGGCTGTCTGCTGGCGGTGGCTAGGAGCAACAGTCCCTGCAGCAGACACTGCAGGGGCAGAGTGGTGGTGCAGATGGCAGGAGACTCCCCCAGGGGGACAGCATTCCCTGCGGGCAGGGCAAGTGTCCCAACTTGCCCCCAGCCACCTGACCTGCCAGAGCTGGGTTATTTCCCTGGGTTTATTTAGCATTAAGGGGCAGGGCCCCAAGAGGCGCTCTGGGCAGAAACTGGCACTGTGCTGCCCCCTAGTGGCTTTTTAACAGGACAGCTCCCCACAGGCCCGCTCCCTGTCAGCCTGCACCCACAGGGAGCTGTGTCTTCATGCCAGGCCACCCTTGCCCAGCTCCGGCCCGGTCTCCCGGATGGACCAGTGTGAGGCAGGCACCACCTACTCCAGAGCCTTCACCAAGGCCTCGTTGGCCTCGATGCGGATTTGGATCTCAGCCCGAGTGGCCTCGTCTGCTGCCCCCAACAGCTCCGACTGTGCCTTCTCCAGGTTCGCTTTGGCTGCCTGCAGGGGGTGGGGGTGGGTGAGGGCTGAGCAGGGACATCAGCCGGCACCTGTTCCCACCAAACCCCAGCTTCCCCTAGGACACTCACCCCCAGATCCAGCATGTCCAAGGTGACGGCTTCCTCAGCCAGTAACTGCACGGAGGAGTCAGCATTCACTGTGACAGAGCCACTGCTCACTGCAGGAAGAGGGAGCTTGAGAGTCAGCCCCACAGACCTTGTGAGGCTGGGAGGCTGACCCTACAACCTGGCTCCAGGGTTCAAAGGCCCCAGCACACAAGTGGACAGGTGGCCATCAGTGCATCCATTGGGGGTTGGACATGGAGACAGAGACCCCGCTCTTTGCCCAGCAGCTGAGTTAAGTTTGGGGTGATCCCCAGCTGAATTCCAGTGCTGGACAGGAGCCATGCTGTGGAAGACCTTTACAGAACCAAGGACCCCTTCTCCAAAAGGCCCCTGCCAGGCAGCACTCTTAGATCTCTTTCCCCAGTCTGTCAGTCCCAACTGCTGAGCGGTTACATCCCAAACCACAATGAGACCACTGCCGGTATGGGGCCGGTCTATGTCCCTGGCGCCCTTTCTCAAGCAGCCAGCTGAAAACAGGACTGAAAACAGTCGGCTGAGACGAACGTCCCCTACTCTCTGTATGCCCACTCGACTCACCGAAGTATTTGGAGGTGGTGCCATCCTCAGCGTGGACCACAACCAGGCCTGGCCGCAGGACCTGCAATGTGGGCACATGGGCTGCAAGGATGCCGAAGGCGCCGGTCTGCGTGGGCACGTCCACCTGGCGGACGTTGGCGCCGTTGAAGAACACCTAGAGAACACACGTGAAGAAAGGGTCACCTAAGGCCAGTCCCTCGGTGTCCTCTGTAGTTAAATAGCTAGAACAGGACTGACAGCAGGGGAGGGGGGCACAGGCGGCTCCGCTGCGGCCAATGTTTCGGAGGGGTGCAGCACCTTCCTCTACTTGAGGACGAAATCGACACTCTAGCCTTCGCGGAAGCAGATACGGTTAAATCACCACCAGCGAGCCGCCAGGGAGGACACACTGAATTCTGCAAAGGGCCGAGGGGCTCAGGTTGTGAACCCCGCGAAGACGGGTGCATGTCGAAATAGGGGCTGAGGGCAGGCGACCCGAGAACTGGGGGCTCGCATCCCAGACCACAGGTCCGGCATGGAGGTGGTCTCCGACCTGAAGGTTGGGGGCTCGGATCCCGGACCACAAGGAGAAAGGGCGAGGGTCTGGAACGCGGGTCCCCGATCTGAGGGTTGGGAGTTCGCAACCCGGATCACACGGAGGACGGGCGCGGGTCTGGAGTGGGAGTCGCCGACCTGAGGACTGGGGGCTCGGATCCTGGGCCACATGGGGGAGGGGTCCAGAATGGGGTCCCGAGCACCGCGGACGTCCGAACCTGCGTGGGTGAGGCAAAGGTGAAGGACATCTGTCCCGGACCCGCCGCAGGGGCCTGAGCAGCGGCGGCCTCGGCGTAGGCGCGGACCTGGCGTACGAGGCGGCCCAAACCCGGACGGCGGAGCAACGCGGCGGGCAGCATGATGGCTGGCGGACAGCGGAAGGCAACGCTGAGGCGAGCTAACTCCTGTTAAACGCGAGCGGCCTGGAGGGCGAGGAGGACGACGCGAGAGGACTTCTGGGAGAAAGATCCTGGCGAGAGCGCACGCGCGAACTACGACTCCCGGCGCGCTGCGCGCGATGCTGAAGAAGAAGCACCACCTGGGCGCGTGGCATGCTGGGGATTGTAGTTTCCTTCCGGTGAGCGCTCCTAGCCCTGTGGTACCTTGAGGGAGATCGGTTACACGGCTCTGCACCCTGAGGACCAGAAGCCTGCGCGGAGAAGTTACGGAAACACTTAATTCAAGATTTGGGGGACGCTCGTTGGATGTCAGGCGCTGGGGAGACATCAAGGAAATAGCGAGATTCCTGCTCTAGTTTGGGGTGGTGGGGGCGTTTAGCAGACATTAACGTAATAATAAGAGCGCCCGAGGTGGCAATAGTGGTAAAGAACCTGCCTGCCAATGCAGGAGACGCGAGATCGACCTTTGGGTGGGGAAGATCCCCTGGAGGAGGGCATGGCAACCCGTCCCAGTATTCTTGCCAAGAGAATCCCGTGGACAGAGGAACCTGGTGGACTACAGTCGATAGGGTCGCAAAGAGTCGGACTCGACTGAAGAGACTTAGCACGCGCGCAACATAGTTTATAAGTTGTGCAGTACACTACGAAGTAACAAAAAAAAAAAGGAGGTAACAAATACATAAAAATAACAAAGGGGCGAGGGCCGGATAGAACAGGCTGTGACTGGGAGGTGCAGGCGGCGAACCGGGGACGGCACACCAGGTAGAAGAGTGTCCAGCTCCTGCAAGCGTCCAGCGGGAACCTCTTGGGTGTAACCCTAAGGGCGCCGGCAGAGGGCGCAGTGCGCCCAGAGGTGCGCTCCCCTCGGCCCCGCCCGGCCACCGCCCCCGCGCGCTGCTGACGCAGGGGCGCGTGCGCGCGGGCAGCCCAGGGCTGCGCTGCCGTCACCCCGGCCCGCGCCGCCTCGCTCGCGGTGCTGACGTCACCGCTCCGCCCCCGCGCTCCGGCAGGTCGTCTCCAGGGGTTGGGTCCTAGCCCCCACCTTGAGCTCCGGGAAAATGCGAAGTCGGGCTCCGCGGGGCTGGGACTTAACATCGGAAGGGCCTTGGCTGAGGAGCGGACGGATGCAGAGAGCCAGGGAGAGGTGTCACACCTGGGCTCGTGGCTGCGCAGGTGCTGTGTCCAAAAGAGGCTCCCACACCGGGGAGGCCCGAGGCCTGGGGCCCAGACCCTCTAGACCAGCGCTGTTAAGGGCTCCTAGGGAGTCGGTCCCTATGCGTTGGGCATCCTAGCCCTAGTTGGATGTTTGCAGAGGGAAGCTGTACTCCCATTTCTTAGGGGGTGCGTCCTGTCCACGCGCCTCTCGGAGCGCTGGATCCTACTGGAATGGAGGCCTATTCTAATCCGCACCTCAAACCAATCTACGGGACTGGTCTCTAATTCCCCTTGCAGGGTAGTCAAAGGGACGGGGCTACCTGTTATCCAGGTCCCAAACCTGGGGTTATCCTGGAATTCTCTGCTGGACTGGTCAACAAGGGTCCTCCACCCAGCTCTGCCACTGCAGCCATTACTGGCTTGGATGGCTCCCCTGCTCCTTCCTGGCTTCATCACAGTGCCTCGTCCACCCACAGCCAAGAGGGACAATATCACTCCCGTCCTGGGAACCACAAATTGGCTTCCCCCTGTTCCTCTGGCATGTTCATCTTCAGCCCACACACTCTGGGACCTCAAGGACTTCGCACATGCATTTCACACGTGCCCAGAGCCAGCCTTCCTGGGTACTTGTCCCCCTGACTGCTCCTTGTCCTCCATTGGCAGTGTCCCCCTTTCATCCACTTAACACTCATGTTCCCTCCACTGTGCTCCCCCCAGGGATATGCTCAGGGACCCAACGCAACTGAACTCCTGCTCTGGGAGGTCAGGAGGCAGAGGTGAGCAGGGACACAACACACAGGAACAAGCAGCAGGCAATGACACGCAGGGCCTCGAAGAGAAGCCAAGTGTAGCAGGGCATGGGAACATGGGGTGAGAGTAAGCGCTGAAGGAAGCAAGGCAGGGAGCAGGCCGCTCAGGCCTGGCAGCTGCCGGTACAAAGGCCCTGGGGTTGGAATGGTCCTTCCACTCTCACTGCACAGGAAAGGGGAGCCATTGAGCTGTATTGAACACAAGGCCCGGCAAACTGGGATGGAACCCCAGCCACGCTGGTGGTAGCTTGATGACCTTAGCATCTAGAGGGAGGATGCATAGTTGTCTGAGAAAGAACAGCTTTGGGGCTGACCTGACATGGCGTTTCAGCAGGGTAGTCCTGTTTGGTGGCACTCACAATAGGTTGGGTTCCATTATCTCTGCTAGTCTTAACAAGGCGACCCTGACAGTGCAGCCCACACAAAGGAAGAAAGATGGACACTTGCCCCAGAGCTCCCTGGCTGTGCACCCAGTAGGCTCCCAAATTGGGAAAGCCATCGACGGGGAGTCTGTGCACCCCCAGGACACTGGGCTGCGGGGAGTCGTGCGCCCCAGGACCAACACCCCTTTGGTTCCCCCGTCCCCTGGGATCCACGGGAAGGGTCGAGGAATCGTGCGCCGTGGACCTGGTACGGAGATTCAGCTGCCTCTGGAGAGGGCGGCTCCGCGTGGGGAGGGGGCGCCAGGGAGCGTAGGCTCCGCCTCCCGCCCCCTCCGGAAGGGAAGGAGAGGCGGCGGCCGACGCGGAGCAAGCAAGCGAGACGCGGTGGCGAGAGCGGTGGGGGCGGCCGGCCGGGGACCGGGCGGCTCCCGGCAGTACCGAGCGGGTCGGAGCTGGCTAGCCACCAACGCGATCACGTGTGCAGCCCCTCCTCTCGCGCCTACCTCCCCCGCGCGCCGCGCTCTCCATTCATAAATTCTCCTCCTGCTACCGCGGCTACCGGGCGCCGGAGCCAGCCGGGAGCGCTGCGCAGCCGCCTGCCCGCCGCCCATGGGCCGCGCACCCCGGCGCTGAGGTAGGCGCGCGCGGGCCTGGGGTTGCACCGGGTCGGGCGGGGGGCAGGGCGAGGCCGCACGGCTAGCTCTGGCTAGAGATCTCCGGCCCTTGCCCGCGAGGCGGCGAGGCCGGAGGCTGCGAGCGGAGGAGCCGTGGCCGGCGTGGGGGCCAACCTGCGGCGCTCTGCACCCGGACTTCGGCGCCCGGCATAGGGACCCTCGCCCACGCCCTTCCCAGCCTGTTTCCCCTTGAGAAATTCGGCCAGAGCCGTGGCATTTCCGCCCCCTGGCTTAGCCCGAGGTTGAGACATGCCCGAAGTCGGTTATCTGCATCTCACTTCTCGCCATCCCCATCTCTGGGGCCGGTTGGGGACGCGGGGGTGGGCGCAGTGGCGAGCCCGATCCGGAGCCGAGGCCCCGCGGGACTTAAGGGTGGCCTGTGGCCAACCTCCGCCCTAGGTTCACGTCCCCGACTGCCCCCTAGAAGCCCACCTCCCTTCCCCCTGGGCCTCCTACTGTCTTTCCTGGTCTCCTGTCAACGTCCCTGTGCCTTTGCTACCTCCCCCTCTAGCCTGAACTCATTTCCCGACCTACATAGAGGGGCCCCCTCCCCCATGGATGCAGGGGAGCCGCGACCAGCCTCTGACCCGAAGTGTCGAGGACGCCTGGCTTTTGCCAGGCCCCTCCCCTGCAATGGGCCTCGGTCTCCCCGCTCCTCGCGTCCAGTAGGGTGAAAACCCCGATGGATTGGGGGCGCTGGAACCTGTGCACAGTCTCTCCCATTCCTGTGGGCAGGGGCAGCGCGCAGTGCCCAGTCAGAGCGGCTGGTTATCCTAGCCCCAGACTCCGTTCCCTGACATTCCAGAGTGCGGCCGCCGGTCTTTCCCACCCGGAGGGCGGGTTGGGGAGGGCGGTCAGGTGCAACGTCCAGGCAGTCCCTCTGCTGAGATCTGAGACCCTTCCTGTCTCGGCGCCCCAAGCGTCGGGCAGACGTGGAGCCGGCCGGCTCCGGCAGCGAGGGGGTGCGGCGGGGGCATGCGGGCGGCGGGCACCGGCGGGCGGCGGCAGCAGCAGCCATCTTGCCGCCCCGGGCTGGCTCCAGCCGCCCCAGTAGGAGGCCTCCCTCCCCCGCGCCCCCTCCCCTCCCCAATGCTCCCTGGCAACCCGCCTCCCTCCCCCCCCCCCCCACCAGCTCGGCCTGCTAGCTCAGTCACCATGGGAACCAGATTCTTGAGGGTTGGGAACAGATGCGCCTCCTTTGGCCTTGTCACTCCCACTAGCGCTGGGCGGAGTGAGTCCTGAACCTCCTGGAGTCGTGACCTGGGGGTCCCGGGGCTCGGCCTCTCCGTCCCCTCCCCTGGCTAGACAGCCCCGCGGATGGTCCTAGTCCCTGCTGTTTTGGAAGCCGTCTCCTGGGGCCGAGGCTCTCCGATGGGGCAGGCCAGACCCCTGGGGTCTGGCGGTAGTGAGCTGATTCAGGTCTCAGTTTCCCCTTTCCTGGGCAGGGCTACCTGCCCGCGCTACCTTGCCGGGCCGGCCCCACCGGCTGGGGAAGCTGGTTGTTGATACGCACGCGTCTTCTCTTTTTCAAAGAAGGGGACATGGAGGTCTGATCCGAGCCGGGGGTGGGGGGGGGCTGCCTCGGGGCTCCCCCCCCCCCCGTCACCACTCTGTGAGTCACCGCCCTGTGTGGGCCCCTGCTCCCGCTCCCGGGAAGGAAGGCAGGAGGGGGGACGCGGGAGCTGGAGCTGAGCAGGCCCTGCCTCCGCCCCCCACCCCTCCTCCTAGCCTCAACATGCAGCCCACAGCCACCATGGCTACGGCCGCCGCCGCCGCCGCCACCACCACCACCACCACGGTTGCCCTGACCACGACGTGGGACAACGCCACGGATCGCCCCACAGTGAGTGAGGGATGGGGGGAGAGGGGGTGGGGCAGGGCTGCCAGAGGTCATGCCCACTGGCCCTGACCCCTGACCTGCTGACCCCGCAGGCAGAGCCGGACCCAGTCCTGGACAACTATCTGCTCCTGATGGTGGTGATGGCGCTCTTTGTCGGGGGTGCCCTCGTGGTGCTGTCGGGTGCACTGCTGCTCTGCAGGCGCTGCTGGGAGGTGCACCGACGCCTCCACAGGTGCGCAGACCCCCCCAGGGGAAGTGGAGCAGGTCAGCGTGAGCGCCCTGCTAAGAGCAGGTGCAGTGAGCTCAGGATGCTGCCTGTGGACAGGAGCCCTGCTGGGGCCCCAGGGAGGGCAGCCAGTCTGGATCCTCAGGCCCACCGTGCTCTCTCACTGCGCTCCCCAGAGCCCCAGAGGAAGCAGAGAAGACCACCACCACCTACCTGGACAACGGTGCCCACCCTGCCCAAGGTGAGGCGCTCTGCCAGGCCCTGTCCCAGCCTGTCTGCCCCCACCTGGCCACTCCACGGCCGCCCCCCTTGGGCCACCTGACCATCTGTGTCTGTCTGTCTCCCCCACCAGACTGGGCGCGGCTCGATTCCGACTCATCTCTGTTTCCTTAAGCCCACGCGTAGGTGCTCACAGGCGCGTGCTGCGTGAGTGAGTGTGTGAGCGGATGAGCGAGTGCCCGTCCACCCTCCCACCCTGCCCCGCCCCTGGTGGTTAGCCGGGCCCTCTGTGCTCCCTTCCCAACCACTCCCCTCCCTAGCTGCCTGCCGGCCCACTCGTGGCCCACCCTCTCTTGGCTCTCCTCGCAGACCCCGAGTTCAGGGGGGAGGATCCGGAGGGTCAGGACACCGAGACCCAGCGCTTCTTGTCCACCAGCTCCACCGGCCGCCGGGTGTCCTTCAATGAAGCAGCCCTGTTTGAGCAGAGTCGGAAAGCGCAGGACAAGGGCCGCCGGTAAGGAGGGCCAGTGCAGCGGCTAACCTGGGAACTCGCCTTGCCACCCCCGCCCTCCCCAGCACCTGGTGGGCAGACTGACAGTGGGGCTGGAGAGGGCACTGGGGTGTGTGTGGGGGGGCCCGCTCGCCCGAGGTGACGGGCAGGCGCGCTGGGCGCAGGTACACCCTGACGGAGGGGGACTTCCACCACCTGAAGAATGCCCGCCTCACCCATCTGCACCTGCCGCCCCTCAAGATCGTCACCATTCACGAGTGCGACTCCGGCGAGGCCAGTGCAACTGCCACACCACACCCCACGGTTGCCCCCAAGGCCAGCCTTGCCATATTCCAGGTGAGTCAGGTGTCAGGTGGCCCAGAGCTCGGGGGTGGAACCCCACCCCACCCCACCCCACCCCCACCCAGCAGGTACCACCTTGCCCACCCACACCCTCCCTCAGCTGTGCCCCTTACCTCAGCGTGGGAAGTGGGGCCTGGCCAGGTCCAGTGGGTGGGGGTCCAGCACACCCCCTTACCCACCCGTGCTCTTTGACCTGTCACTGCTTCCTCCTCCCCCCTGGCTCTGTCCCACAGCCCCCGGGGAAGGCCCTCACCGGCCGCTCCGTGGGCCCTAGCTCCGCCCTGCCAGGTGACCCCTACAACTCAGCCGTGGGCCCTGCCAACTTCAGGATCAGCCCCTCAGCCTCCAGTGACTCCGGGGAAGGCAGCTCGGTGAGGCCTCCCCCCACGTCCTCTGCCCCCTCCTCCAGCATGGGTCAGCCTATGGGCCTGTACCTGGTCCCCTCCCCGGGAGGAAGAGGGGCCGGTTATACACGGAGCACACATGCACCTGGCTCACCTCCTCCAGGGTTGTCCAGCAACAGGAGAGGGCATGGTCAGGACCATCCCAAGCTGTGGGACAGGACATCCCCTACCCTGTCCTGTTCTGGGCTGGGCAGGACAGAGCTGGCCTGTGCCTGGGGAACCTCTCAGACAGGGTCTGGGGGATGGGGGGAGGCCCAGCCCCCTGGTTTAGCGTGGCCCCCACCAGCCCCAGCTCTCTGCTCTTCCTCTGCACTCCAAGTAAGTGACAAGTGGCCCAAGCCAGGCGGGCACTCGGGTAGCAGGGAGGGGTCAGCGGGTCTCAGAGCATCTCTCTTCTCTCACAGCTGGACACTGGGGCCAGGAGCGCCAAGCCTGGTGCACAGGGGGCCGCAGCAGGGCCTGGGGATGTGGGCCCAGGCTCTGGGGCAGGCCCCGTCCTGCAGTTCTTCACCCGCCTGAGGCGTCATGCTAGCCTGGACGGGGCCAGCCCCTATTTCAAGGTCAAGAAATGGAAACTGGAGCCCAGCCAGCGGGCATCCAGTCTGGACACAAGAGGTAAGCTGCAGCCCCTGGTGGGGAGTGAGGCCCAGGGAGATGTGGAGCAGCAACCTGCTCTGCACCGTCATGGGGGGGGGGTCCCCAGTCCCCACCCCAGACTGGCCAGCATCATCTGCTCACCAGTGGGCATCTGGCCCATGAGCTGGTCAGGAGGATGACCTGGGGCTGCACACAGTGCCCCAGTAAAGCCAGGGCTTGTCTAGCTAGAGCGGACAACAGTGAGCTTCTCCAGTGAGTCCTCGTACTGTGTGTTTCTGGCACTGTAGTCAGTTTGCTGTGCTAGTGAGAGCACCCCTAGATGACATGTACAGTAGTATGGCTGTGTGCCAGTAAAACTTCATTTACAACCACAGGTGGTGGGCATATGATGCTGCAGACCCCTGCTCATGGAGCCCTGGACACAGGGCTTCTAAACCTCAACCCAAGGGCCATGCAGGTGGGGGGTGGCGGTGGTGGGGTGTGGCACCAACTCCCGGGACCAAGGCTGCTCACTGGAGCTCAGCAGGGCGAGGCTGCTAGGGCATCTACTGCCCTGTGGTGGAGGTGGCAGGTCCCAGTGCCAGGAGAGGTAGGGTGAGGGGACCAGGGACAGCACGAGTCCCCTTGTTGGAGCCAACCTCCTGCGCCATGGGGCGAGGGAGGGCTGATTTCTGGTTGAGTGCTCCTGGCCGGGAAGGGGAGGGGAGGGCTTGTCCTGCTGCCCCACTGGGAGCCTAGATGGAGCCTGTAATTCCAGAGGTGATTATAGGCAAATGCAGGCAGGAAGAAGCAGAACCTGTCTGCTGGGTTACTACCATCCCCACCCCTGAGGCTCCACCACCCGGGCTCCCTGGCCCACCAGTGAGGCAGGATCTGGAGCTGGCAGGAGAGAGCGTCACCTCTCCCCCTTCCCTGTCCCTTACTTGGCCCTACCTTCGGCCTTCAGCCAGGCCGTGTCTGTTACCTGATGTCCAGGAAAAGTCCTTGCTGTGGCCACACCTGCTTGCTGCCTTGGCACCTCCATTCATGCCCGCCCTGGCCGCCGGGCTCTTGGTCCTGGCCTTCCCGTCCTTGGTGCCTTGGTTTCCCAGCTGCACCATGGGCGGGATAGACACTCACCTGGCCCAGGCTGGTGTCTACTGGCCTGGCTCAGATGTGGGCAGTGAGCCTGGTGCTGGGAGGGCTTAGGCAAGTGGTCGGTTTTCCTTTGCACAGGTTCCCCCAAGCGACACCACTTCCAGCGGCAGCGGGCGGCCAGCGAGAGCATGGAGCAGGAGGAAGGGGATGCCCCCCACGTGGACTTCATCCAGTATATTGCCAGCGCGGGCGACACCATGGTCTTCCCAAGCCCCCGCCCCTTTCTGGCCAGCCCCACCAGCCCGCCCCCCAGTCTCGGCAGGTATTTTTCAGTAGATAGAGGTGCTGGGGTGGACCTGTAGGCCCCTGCCCCATCCCATCCCCCATAGGTGGCCCAGAGGATGGGCGGTCGAGTCCCTCTGGCTCCACAGTCTCCTGGAGGCTGCCTCACTGGGGCCATCTCTCCAGCACGGATCGGAGAAGGGAAGCGGGGGCTAATGGGTAAGGGTAGAGGGATGGCTGGGGCCCACTGCTTCCTGCTGAAGCCTAGGGCGTGAAGGTCTCTGCTGTGGACCCAGGGCACCTCCCACTTGCTGGTGCTCCTGGGGCTGGACAGCTGCTACTCAGAAACCGTTGTGACCACTTCTGGGGGTGCCGCCCTCTCCCCCAGCCCAAGGGCAACTCTCAGGAAACTCTGGGCCCCTGTCAGCAGGATGAACAACTGGACCCCAGGAGCAGGGCAGGCTTCCTAGTCCTGGGTGCTTCCTGTTTGGGGAGATCAACACTTTCTATGTGCTATCTTCCTCCTGGGTCCCTGTCACTCTGTGGTGGGGGAGCTGAGGTGGCCCCCTGGAAGGGGGGCGGTCACCCAGGTGTCCGGGCTCAGTTGGACTCCACTTGATCCAATCCAACGAAGAAGACATCTCCTGAGAAGAGCCTTAACTCTTTTAGGGCGAGGGGCCAACCCCCTGCACTGCCAGCAGATGCCCTGGTCACATTTTCTTTTAACATTTTATTTTTAATTGAAAGATAATCGCTTTACAATATCATGTTGGTTTCTGCCATACATCGGCATAAGTCAGCCATAGATATACGCATTATACATATATCCCCTCCCTCTTGAACCTCCCTCCCATCTCTCATCCTGTAAGGCCCTGGTTGAACTGGCAGGCGCCAGAACGGCTCCGGGTTAACCCAAGAGCATCCAGGCCAAAGTGGACAGGCAGCACTCAGAAACATCATCTTCCACGGCCCGGCCAAGCCTGGAGGGTTCCCACCTGTGCCCATCCTCCTGGACCGAGAAGCAGGGTGGTCAGGAGGCGGGTGGGGGAGGAGGCTCGGGGTTGGGGGAAGGAGGGGGCCTAATGCAGCCTCCTGACTGCGGCCTGGTTTGCAGGCTAGAAGCAGCTGAGGAGGTGGGCGCCGCAGGAGGAGCGAGCCCTGAGTCCCCCCTGGAGCGCGGCATCATCGCAGGGCCTGAACAGCTACAAGACTCAGATGGAGAGCGAGACGCGGGGCTCGAGCAGGCCCCGACCATCTACCGCGATATCTGGAGTTTGCGTGCCTCACTCGAGCTGCATGCGGCTGCCTCCTCAGACCACAGCAGCAGCGGCAACGACCGTGACTCGGTGCGCAGTGGCGACAGCTCGGGCTCGGGCTCCGGGGGCGCCGCACCCGCCTTTCCACTGCCCTCGCCGCCGCCTACACCCGTGCCGCGGCCGGCGGATGGAGAGACGGGCGGACCGCGCAAGCTGCTGCAGATGGACAGCGGCTATGCCAGCATCGAAGGCCGCGGCGCGGGGGATGATGGGCCCCCCAGTGAGCCTGAGAAGCGCTCCTCCTTTACGAGTGCAGGCCGCGAGGCCACCGTGGGCTGCAGCTTCGAGAGCTCTGCTCCAGAGACACCCGTCCGTCCCCGCAGCCCGCGTGCTTGGCCTCGCCGTGCCCCGCGCCGCGACTACAGCATCGATGAGAAGACAGATGCGCTGTTCCACGAGTTTCTACGCCACGACCCGCACTTCGACGACGCCCCGTCTGCCACAGCGCGCCATAGGGCGCGCGCGCACCCCCACCCCCATGCACGCAAACAGTGGCAGCAGCGTGGCCGGCAGCACAGCGACCCTGGAGCACGCGCTGCGCCCCCCACCCCATCCACAGCCCAATCTGGTGCCCCCCGCCCCGCACGCGCACCCCTGCGCCGCGGAGACAGTGTCGACTGCCCGCCCGACGGCAGAGCAGGCGACGACCCAGCCACATCCTCCATCCCCGTCATCGAGGAGGAGCCCGGTGGTGGATGCCCGGGGTCCGGCCTGTGTGCCGGGCCCCCGGGTGCGCTGCTGGACAAGCTGGCGGCCACCTTCGACGACAGGCTCTTTCCGCCGCGGCCTGCCCAGCCGGTCGCCGTGGCACCTGCCTTGGCCACGGCCGCGCCCACGTCCCCTGACCACAGCCCGGTCTAAGCCTGCGCCCCGCGCCCACCTCGTCAGCTTATTCGGCACCGGCGGGGCCCCGGTGCCGGACATACCTGGGGTGCGACGTCCCGGCGCGCCTGCGCTGGGACCGCGGGCCTGGAGCACGAGCGCGGTTCCCCAGGCGCCCCAACGTGCGCACGCACAGTCCCCTCCAGGCACTTCGTAGAGTCGACTAGAGGGAGTGTGGCGGATTCTCACCTTGGGGTCCCAAGGGACACACTCAACTTCCCTTGGCCCCAGACTGTGGCCTCGGGGTGTTGACGGGGGTTGCCAAGCGCATGGCACCGCATCTCTGGCGCATAGCTACAGAAAGCGCATGCGCAGGGCTTGCATCCAGACGGGGTGATACGGGCCAACTGCGCAACACGCATGCGCACAGCGCCTCTTCCAGAGACCAATGCAGCCTCGAGAACTGCTCGATGCGCACGCGCTGCAATTCGCGCCAAGACACATGCACAGGGACTGCAGGGTGCCAAAGCTCAATCTCTTGATTGGGCCGTCCCTGGCTGGGAGGTTAGCTCGAGGCCGCGGCCACCAACCCTTCAAAGCCGTTTACCTCACCGCGGCGAGTGCTCGCGGCAGTCCGCACCCCCCCACACACACCCCTGAGCAATAACTGCTGCCGCTGCCCCCAGCCCTGCACACGCCTCCCACCTCGCTCCTTCCCAGTGTCTGCACCCCACACCCGCCCTCCGCATGTTGAGCGGGCCGCACGCCCTGTAACCGCTCCGTCCAAAGAGCCGCCTGGACTCACCAGTGTTTGAGACATAAAACCCAAATGATCAAGGTTTCAAGTTTCCCAAGCTTTATTTATTGCCAAAAGATGGGGCAGCCCTCGCCAGCGGCCGAGTCGCCCTGCCCCGCCCCTCCCTCCTAAGCTTCCTGCAGTTTGTGTACCATCCAGTGATGGAGCTTGTGTTTTGTTTTCTGGTTGATTATAAATATTTAGTGCATACTCTTGCTTGCTCTGGGTTGTTTCTGGGGACCCGAGAGCGCAGATGTCTTGGGCAGAAGGGGATGAGGCACCCCCCTAGCCACCATGCTGTGAAGCTGTGGGCCCTGGGCTGAGCAGAGGGGCCTGTAGAGCTTTGGGGAGGCCGGGCTCTCGCTAAGAGCAGAGATCCAGCATGGCTAGAAGCAAATATGCCTAAGAGGCCCAGGTCTCCAGCAGGTAGCCCGGCCAGCCCCTCCACTGTGGGACCCACAAAGGACCCCAGGCTCAGGCTCAGATCCCCTGACAGCATGCTGCCACCCACAGTTCCCAAATATCCCTCACAACCACAGCTCAAATCCACCTGTTTTATTTTTTGTTTAAAAAATAAAAATAAAAAGGAACCAACCAAACAACAAACACAAGGAGGCCGCCTGGTTCCCTTGGGCATGGGCATGCATCTGGGTCGGCAGGCCTGCATGTCATGCCCATCCCGTTGCGGCTGTGGTTGATATGAACACATCACCAGGTGTGGGAGGTGCTAACCAGTGGCAGAGTAAAAAGAGGAGTTGGGGTGGACGAGAACCAGTAGTCTCAACGTAAAGTGCATGGCAAAGGCTGGCATGGGACCACGCCGGGCCCTCTCCCTCCTCCCCTAGCTGGGGGAAGGGGCTCAGCACAGGATTGCAGTCAGCAGGAGGTCGTGTCCACCGGCCACCGAGGGAGAGCCAGATCCCAGTCCCTGCTGTCGCCCAGCCACAGTCCTCCAGGACCCTCTGGCTTCCAGAGGAGCAGTCAGCACGGAGGGCGCTGTGGCAGCCTTCCTGGGCGGTGGGCAGCAGGCCAGCCGTCGACGGGAAGACTGAGCAGGACCTGGCCGGGGCTCCTGGAGACGGACTGAGACCAGGACACAGGCAGGTTACTTCTGGGCCAAGCAAGGTCCTATGTCACAGGCAGCACGCTCTCCCTGGATCCCTCCAGAAGATGGGGAAATGGAGGCCTAGTCACACAGTGCTGTCAGACACCTCCACTGGCCAGGGAGAGCTGCACTGCCTCAAGGGGCCACCCCAGGAATCTCTGGTCGCCTGGTGGGATTAAGCAGGGCCCTTGTGCCACAGAACCAGGCCTCCCTGCAAAGAGCTTCTACCCCACCTGACCGGTTCTGATACTGGCAGGTAAGTTCTGTGGGGGCCATTTCAGAGGCAGCTCCCGGGGAGAGGAGGCATGGATGGACAGGGGCTGGACCCTCAGGCCTCCACCCCGTTGCTCATATCCTGAATGGCAATGGGGGCACAAGCACCCCTGAGGCCCACCCAAAACGCCCTTTGTGGACTGGGTGGTCAGGGCTGGGAAGAGGGAGCAGGGAGAGGAAACGACAACCTCAGTCAGAGCACAGCCCCCTGCACCCCTCAAACTCCTCCAATGCCAGGAGCAGCCTGGTCTGGACAGGAGGCAAGCCCCTCGGGTCTGCAAAACAGGCTGTCAGCTTAAGGGGCCTTCCTCCTGCACACACACACACCAAGCCCCCGCACCACACCAAGTAGCCAGTATTCTGCAGAAAGTGACTTCCTTCAACTCCAACCCAGACTCCAGGGACAGTGACACAAACCAAGATGGTAGTGTCCACAATGTGCCCCCCCACCCCTCTGGTCCCAGCCCCATCCTACCTGCGGGCAGCCAACCTCACTGCTGTTTGCAGGCCGACAGCCGGCGGATCTTGCTGCTGGCTGAGCAGGCCTTGCGGGCAGGGTTGGAGGCAGCGCTGGCCCGGCGCTCTGCCCTCGACCTGGTGTTCAGCTGGGTGGTGTCGGTGCCATTCACGCACACAGCCTTGGGAAGGACCCGGTTCTGTGCGCTCCGCCCAGCCTCCTCCTCCAGGACCTGACCTTCAAGGGGAGAGGGCCAGAGTGTGCTGAATGGGGATCCCAAAGCACACGCGCTCTGCATCATTCCTGCCCAGACCCAGGCCCCCCACCACCTGTCCCATCTGACCTGCCCGGTCCTGCCACAGGGCCTCATCCAGGGAGCGGGAGGGCGGGCCTTCAAACCAACCGGCCAGAATCAGGCCCAGCCCATGCTCACCTGCCCATTCAGCTGTGAGCGGGGCTCCACACTCAGGTGAGTGGGAATATGGTGGAGGACCAGAGACCTGGGGCCCGAGCCTCAGCTCTCTCACCTGGGTGAAGGCCAGAGCCCACTGGGCCCTGTGGAACACAAGGGGCTGTACTTGGGCCAGGCGTCCAGACTCGATGTCATTCTCGAAACAGCCCACCCTGGCTCTCCATGCCAGGCACGAAAGAACAGAGAGGCAGGCTCGGGCACCTCCCATACCCCATTCCTTCCCACGTGGCCTGCCAGCCCTCACTGGGTCCTGCTGCATGCCCGCTGAGCAGTGGGGGAGGGAGGGGTGCAGGAGCCCAGGCTGACCACAGCACACCCTCCTCCCGTGGATACCAGGAAACCACCACAGCTGCCTCGAGCCCGTCTGGTCCTCACACAGGAATGCGTTTCCACCAGCGGTGTCTGGGGCCTGACTTGGCCTCTGGACCTTGCCGGAAGCCCCCTAAGCATGTGTACAGGCAGCAACTCAGGTCAGAACTCAGAGCATGGCAGAGTGGGCGGGTGTCAGAAGCCTGCTCTAATGGCGGAGGGGGCTGCCAGGGTGCCGAGTACCACAACGCTACTCAGACCACCAGGGCTCAGCCTCCAGCACAGCGACCACAGCTGGGGGGTGGCCGGCAAGAAATCTGCTCCACTTGCCCTCAAGGCACCAAGGGCACTGGCTCAAACAAAACCAGGGTGGGTGGCAGGAAGAGGGACAGACCAGGGAGACCCTGGTGAGCAGATCATGAGACGGGACTGGAGCAGAAGCAGCCCCAACACAGCCTGCCGTTGGCCTAGGGCAGTTCGGGAAGGGGCAGCTGCCTGATCTCACTGCAGGCTTGTCCCCCATCTGGAGTAGGGACATTTCTGGGCTAGGGGTCTAGCTTGGGCCCAGAGAACTGCTCTTGGACAAGCATTCCGCACCCAGGAAGAGTAGACCAGGCCTCTGGCATAGGCCTGAAGGGACGGCGTGTGGTCAGTGCCCAGAGGGGCTTGGGGGATCCGGCAGGGTCCACACTCAGCCAGCCAGACACCTGTCCCAGAGCCCCAGTGCCTCCCAAAGGAGAACACCTTGATCCTATCCTGCCAGGGACAGAGGTCCAGGAGGCCTTACTTAGGACTGGGCTGTGGCCAAGGTTCCCAGGGCAGGGTCTCTGACCTGACCCCAGGACCCCAGTGGGAAACAGCTACAGCCAGCCACCATGGGCACCAGAGGCCTAACATGTGCTGGGAGGGTGGGCCCATGCCCGCAGGCCACCCTGCACACAGGCTCTTTCTACAGAAAACACCTGAGCCCTGGCCAACGAGCCAGAAGGAGGCAAGCAGGACCGCACACACAAAGCAGGCAGACCTTTATGCGGAGCCAGTGGAACCAGCCCCAGGGGCAGCACAGAACCGCAGATGCGGTGGCGGGGCAGTGGCCTGGCCTCCCTCAGACCCTGGGCAGGGTCAGCGAGAGCCCACGGTGCACAGGGTGCGGGCCTGGCGGGGTGATGCTACACTAGGGCCTGGGCTCTGCCTGGAGCTCCTCCAAGGCCCTGGCCTCAGCTTCCTCTCCAGAAAGTTCTGAGCACGGGCTCTCCCGTGGGCCTCTCTCTCTAAGCCCTGCCTCAGACGCCTCCTCGCCACCTGGGGAAGAAGGCCAGGCATCAGCAGGGCACCGGCGCCAAGAAGGCCACCAGACCCTCAGGCAGAGCCCCCGGCCCTCCCCCCGACCAGGGCTCACCGGGCACTGTGAAGTCCTGAGTGTAGATGACGTCGTCCTCAATGTCGAAAAGCTCGTCATCCACGTCGTCGGCACAGCCGTGCAGGTCCTCCAGGTAGGGCACCACTGTCATGCCCCGCCACCGGTCCTTGCAGTCCGCGCTGGGCGGGATGGGCACCGGCTGCTCGGCTGGCGGGTGCTTCTTCCGGAACCAACTGTGGGAGCGGGTCATCAGGGTGTCCAGGCTGGCTCCCCACACGGGCCCACCCTCAATTCCCACAGAGAACTACGTGGCGTGCAGACATGGAGAAGGGTGGGGCCAACAGGAGAGACGGAGCCGGCAAGACCCCTGCACCACGCCCTCCCCCTCCAGCACCCAGCCGGGCCGGAGACTCACCTGTGCTGCCGGATCTGCTGTATGGAGAACCGCTTGGCCGGCTCATACTCCAGCATCCCTGCCAGGAGACCAGCCGGGGGCGGGGTTAGCGCGGGCAGAGGCCCCGCCCCTGCCTGGGAGGGGTGGGGGCGTGGCGCGTGTGAGCGGAGCCCCGCCCCCGCTGCAAAGCGAGATCAGGAAGGAGACCGGAGCAGGCTGGAACACAGGACAAGAGCCCACCCCAGGGATCCTGAACCTGTCCACACGTCCCACGAAGACAAAGCACAGGGGTCGACCCTGCAGTGCCCGCCCGGCTCTAGCCAGCAAAGCGGGTGACCGGCAATCCCTGCCGGAACCCCAAACCCCCAAGGCGGCAGCAGGAGAACCAGGGGCCTCCAGAGGGACACACCCTAGAACCTGTGTGAAGGCGTTTGCCCAGGACCCGGACATGCAGAAGAGGCAAGGCAGCCCTGTAGGCCTCGCTGGGCTGCCCCGAGGTGGCAGGGCTACAGGGGTGCGGAGCCCACAAGCCCTGTCTACGTGAACCCCCACCCCAACCCCCAACAGGTGGCTTTGTTCTCAGAAAGTGTAACTTTGGGATGCTGGCCCTCAGAGCTGAGCATGAGTGGTGCAGAAGAGGAAAGGTCATGGTCACAGCCCTGTTGTGGGAGAGCGAGGGCAGGGCTGGGGCGGTGTTCCAGAGACCTGTGGGCAGGAGGCTCGCCGCCCAGCTATGCAAGACCTCTAGGCTCGCACAGGCAGAGAGGACAGGACACTGCCTGGACCTGGGGGACAGGGATACCAATGCCCTCCGCCATCTCGTCAGCCAGACTTGGGGCTGCTTCTTATTTATTTGGTTGCGCTGGGTCTTAGGTGCGTCATGAGATCTAGTTCCCTGACCAGAGATTGAGCCAGGGCCCCCTGCATTGGGAATTTGCAGTTGTAACCACAGGACCAGCAAGGAAGTCCCCCTAACTTGGGACTGTTTCAAGTGTTCATGGGAGTGAAGGCAATAACAGGTCATCATATGTGTCACTGGAGCAAAGAAAGCTTAAAACAGAGAACTCCAACTCATCAGTCCCCATTGAAGGAAGGAGGGTCTGAAACATCAATCTTTGCTAGAGCTGGGGGAGGCCGGGGGTGGGGGTTGGGCCATGAGCCTTCAAGGAACACTTGGGCAGGGAGGGCCAGGTCTGAGTCGGTGGGGCTGCCACCTCCCACACTCCAAGAAGACCCTGGGAGGGCGGGGGAGCCCAGTGCCTGGCTGCCAGGGTGGCCCTGATGCAGAGGGCAGGATGGGGTTGCACCACTGCAGAGCACTTGAACTGCAGCTGCTCAGCTTCACTTCACCTTCACTAACAACCAGAGAACTGGCGTGACTTGGTCATCAGGAGGCTCCGGAGCCACGCAGGACTGTGAAGCAGCTTGTTCATCTGTAGGCCACATATAGGCTAAAGCACGGATTAGGTGTCTGGCACAAGCCGAGCATCAGGTCAGTTACACAAGGCCCGGGGACTGTGGGCAGAGGACCTAGGACGGTACCAGTCACACAGGCGATACCCTGGATGTGCTGTATCATCAAAACTAACTTCACCAGAGAGCTCCCTGCCAGTGCAGGGGTGAAGACTCGGCGCTTTCACTGCTGTGGACCTGGGTTCAATCCCTGGTCAGGGAGTAGGATCCCACAAGCCATGTGGGGTGTGCAAAAACATAAAACACTAACTTCAGCCAAACCCCAGGATCCTGGTGTGGCTTTATGGGGGCCACGGTGGGCCAGGCCCCTGTGTGCGGGGACAGTGCCACCTGCTGAGCAGCCTGGGAACTGCAGCAGAAAGAGGTCCTGCAGGAGACCCCCTCACTCTTACTTCCCGTAGGGATGGGTAATCAGGACAGGGTGGAACCAACACCCAGGACAGGTGGCAGAGCCCAAAGGAGCCAGGGACCCCTCGCACACTCCACTCGGGCTGCTCTCCAAGCCTGGCTAGGCTGTGCCCACCTTCCATGGCGGGGGGGGGGAGGGGGCTGTGGCTGCGGCACAGAGATGGCTCAGCTCTCAAGAGGCCAGTGGTCTAGGGAAGACCCTCGGGAGCCCCCACACCTGCAGCCCGGCCTCCACTCCGAGGGCCTCACCTCTGAGCAGGTCTGAGAGCGGGGGCCCGCAGTCCCCCGGGATGGTATAGTCCCCCTTCCCGATGTTCTCAAACAGCTTGTAGATGTTGTCGCCCTCGAACGGGTACAGGCCTGTTGTGATGTTGTACCTGTGGCCCGGAAGGACAGACCAGTCAGAGCCTGCCCTGTGGCCCTGGAGCCTCTGCCACACTCCTCCACCCCCACTATACACACCCCACCCCCTGCAGGGATCAGACATGAGGACGATGGTCTGGAACACACAGTGCTGTTGGCTCACTGTGAAGACACGAAAAGCCACTGGACTGTGCACTCTAACAGGCTGGGTCAGGGGACACCTGTCACTGAGCTCTCAGTGGAATAAAATGGATGCCTCTTTGTCCAGACCATCAGCTGTCCACGGGGCTGCAGCGCCAACTCGCCTTGGGTGGAAGAACACAGGCCCCCTCGCTACTGCCAGGCTTATGGAGGGACAGACGCCTGCAAGGCAGTCTGGGTGGGAGCCAAGCATCACTGGTGACTTGTGATATCTTTAAGAATTCAGCCCCAGGAGTCAGGACAGAAAGCCTTGCCCGAACAGTGATAGGTGACTCGCGCAGGGCCAACAGCACAGGGGGATCAGCACAGGGGACACCAGCACAAAGCAAGGTGGGCAGAAGGACAGCTGGTCCCAGTGTGTGCCCCAACCCACAGGAGTTCCTGACCCTGGCTCGTGGCCTCCCCAGACATAGGGGACTGCCAAGAGGGGCAGGTCGTGAAGGCCTGGAGTCTGAACCGAGTGCCTGGGGCTGGAGTGGGTGAGGTAGAGGGACCCTGGGGTAAAGGGACCAGGCCCAGGGCACTTACAGCGTGACTCCTGCTGACCAGATGTCCACCTTGAAGCCAGAGAAGGTGTCCAGGCCATTGGCGATCTCAGGTGGCTGGAACGCTGGGGAGCCCTGGCTGGTCCGGCACGTGTCATCCTCAGCAAACGGGTGCAGTGCCTGTGGCAACACCAGGTAGTCCTTAGGAAGTGGCTCCAAGGGCTGGACCCCATGCCCAGTCCGCCCTGGGCCCCCCCACGCACCTCAGCCACACCCAGGTCAGAGATCTTGAGCGTGCCACCGGTGGTGAGCAGCAGGTTGCCGGGCTTGATGTCCTTGTGCACGATGCCCTGGCTGTGCAGGTACTCCAGGCCGTCCACCAGCTGGCAGAAGTACCTGCAGGCACAGCTCTGTGACCACCACCCAGGGCCAGCCACCTGGGCTGTGCTGTCACACCAGTCTCTGGCCTGGAAAGAGCCATGCTGCTCACCGCCTCTGCCCCCTGTCCCCTCCTACCACAGGCCAGCTGGTCCTACAAGCAACTGGGGGCTGACTCTCCAGGAGAACTTGGCCTCAGGGCAGTGAGGCCCGGTCAGGGGCTCCCCCAGCACCAGGAGGCCCCACAGCCTCAGGCAATGGGCATGCGGGGCAGTGCGTGTGCAGAGAGGAGCCGGTGGGCTGCTGCACGGTGTGCACAGCAGCCAGGCTACACAGTTGCAAATTGGGCGCCAAAGCCCTGAGTTTTAAAACACACTTGAACTTCCATCTCACTCATGCTCAGAATAAGCTCTCTGAACATAGGACCAGGTCCTTTAAGGCCCTGGCCCGGAGTGACCTACAGGGGCGAGGGCCGCGGTAGGGCTCGAGCTCACTCACCCATGGGCCTGGCACACAGGGAAGCGCTTCTCGGGCACGCTGTCCAGCATCTCCTGCATGCCACACACGCAATACTCCATCACCATGTACGTGGGCCGTGCTAAGGAAAACACGCAGCAGGCACCCTGCTCTGGACAGGATGGGCCCTCGGACACAGACAAATGCTGGGGGTGGGGCTGCAACAATGCAGTGAGTGGGAGCACCCGGGAGGGATCATGGGCACTGCAGTGGATCCCCACCCCTCCATGGATCCTCCAGGGCCGTCCTGTGGCGCTCAGGACGCCACCTTTGGGCTTAGCCTGCACAGTCCAGCATGAAGGCCCCTGGTTGTTCCATCCCAAGGAGGAGCTTAAGTCTTGCCACCCCCCGCCAACCAGGGGAATGAGGGATAGAGGCCCATGTGGGCCCTGGGAAAGAGAAGGCTGGAGTTGGGGGTGGGGAAGGGGAGGGAGTGAGGAAGGGTGGGAGCCAAGGTCAGGTTGAGGTCCCCCAACCACACCTCTTTGTGGAGAAGAGCCCAGTCATTCTGCATCCAGCAGGTCAGTGATAGACCCCTCAGCAGGACCCTAGGCCCCTAGGCCCCTAGACTTGGGCTCTGGGAGTCGCAGCCAAGAAGGAGAGGGGAAGGCCAAGGAGACTGCCCATATGCCCACCCACCGTGGGGACATGCCCACCTCCCCACCCCCTGTAGGATATATCTTCTGCTTCTCCTCGTTGTACAGCACATCCACTAGCTGGATGACGTTCCTGTGCCGTAGCCTCCTCAGCAGCTGGATCTCCCTGAAGAGAGGATGGGTGGTCAGTCAAGTCCCGGCAGCCCAGCTGCACCCACCATGTGGAGGGCACCGCACGGAGGGTGCTGGGTCTGCCAGAGCCTGGCAGGGCTTCAACACAGCAACAAGACCAGGGACATCTAACACTTGGACTGAAGGTGCATGGAGACCACAGCAAGGGTGCACAGGGCAGCACGAGGGGGTGTGGGAGCTGGGACTCCAGAGACAGCCCTCTCCACCCCCACCCCTGCTACCAGCGCAGCTCCTGAAGATTCTCTGCAGGAGCCGGTGGGCGTGTAGGGGTAAAAGCTGGAGGTCTGTGAGGAGGCTTCACAGAATGCTAAACAGAGTCACCAACTGACCCAGCACCTCCACTCAGGGTATGTGCCTGGGAGGACTGAGTAACACACGACCTATGCACATGTGCTCACAGCAGCACCATCCATGGGAGCCCAAGGGTGGACACAATGCCAGTGTCCCTCCACACCCAGGAGCATCCCTCAGCCCTGAAAAGGAGAGAAGCCCTGATACTTGCTACCACGTAGACAGGCCCCGAGGACACGATGCTCAGTGAGAGAAGCAGACACAGGACACGCAGGGTGTGATTCCACTGATGGGAAATGTCCAGAACAGGCTGATCCACAGATAAAGAGAGTGGGTTCCTGGTTATCAGGGGCTGGGGAGGGGATGGGGTGACAGAGGAGACAGGGCTTCTTTTTGGGGTGATGGAATGTCCTGGACCTACACAAAGATGACCATTACTAAGAAGATACCAAGTGCCATGGTTATGTGAGTGATACCTCAATAAAGGTTTTGTAAAGTCCTCACCAGGAAGCCCACACGTGAAACACAGGAACATCGGGGCAGGTGAGGGCCCATTCTCTTGAGACTCAGCTTCCACCCCTCCCACTGTCCACATTTCATGAAAAGGTTGCCTATTCCAGAAAACCCACCCCACCCTCACAGACCAGTGCACAATCCTGGGCCCTCATAGTGTAGGTCCTCCTTCCACGTGGATCATGGCCCAGCACTCAGAGAGCCCACTCCCCAGAACCAGTGCACAGGAGGCCCTCCACTTGCAGAAGGAAACACAGCTTTACAGTGGCTTCTTGCAAGCCCACTGGCTGCCCTGTCCCTGCCCAGGGTCCCCTCCAGGCCAAGAGGCTGCACATCTAAATGCTCCCCTGAGCTGAACTGGGGGGAAGTGACTCAGAGGCTGGGCCCCAGGTTCATACCATCTGACCACCGGGCATTTAGCCTCTTGTCCAGCATGAGCAGGGACCACACACATGGCAGCTCCACCTGGGCCCTGACCCTGGCTGTGCGGGCTCTGTGGGTACGTGGGAAACAGACTCTGATGCGAGGAGTCCCCCTACATCGTGACACGACAACCAGGACATCTCCCAGGGTCTCTGGGTGTCCCCGGGGACAAGGCAGTGTGGTGAGTCCTGGTGGGTGGGGCAGACTCCCTAGCCCTGCCTCTGGCAGGTCCTCCCTCAACCCGCCCAGCTTGGGCCCACTGTGGACCCATAGGTCCCACTCACTCCTGCAACGGGCCTTCCCAGGCTGCTGTGGGCCAGGCACTGGGTCCGTGGGCACCCTGTCCTGGGGGCCCCATCATACGCGCCAGGCCCACCAGCACTCGTCGGCAGTGGCCCTGTGCTCCCAGGCTTCCTTCCCCCATCACCTCATAGCTCTGACTCCCAGCCTGCTGCCAGCTCCCCAGGGCCAGAGCTCAACTGTGGTGACTCAGGGCCCCTCCCCTGCCTATAAGTTCTCCACCCCCTCAATCTGACAGAGAGGTGGATACCCCAGGCCGTCCAAATGGAAGCCTTTATCCTGACAGTGGTGACCAGGCCTCTGGGGTCTCTGCCACATGCTGCCTGGTCAGAGTACAGAGCAGCTCCTTTCAGAGGTGCCAGGAGAGAAGGCCCTGGGGAGGGGTCCCAGGGCAGCTCCCTCAGTGTTTGATGCCTGCTGGGCTAACTGGCCAGCAAGGGCACCCACCGCGGGGATGGGATTTGCAGCCCAGAGGGGAAAGCGGCACATGGCAGCAAGCTCAGTAGAGAGCCCACAGGCTGGGGCGGGGATGGGACACAGGGCCCAGTGCAGACCAAACTCCTGCGGCATGGGGACAGCTCAAGTGACCATCCCCATCGGCCTCCCTGCTAGACACGGGAGGGGAGACACGAAGGAGGGCCCAACCCAAACCGTGACTCTTGTGGCAACAGGACAGCCCAGGTGACCGTCCGTCCCCTCTCCATCCAAAGAGACGCTACATAAACCCACCTGTGGAGGCAAGGAGCCCTTGACACCTGAGCCAACACGTGGCCACCTCGGGGAGGCAGGCCTCACAGCCAGACTTCAAGAAGCAGCCGCAAGTCCTAGTGTGCAGTCTCCAAACTCGGATGCGGCTGCCAACCACACGCGCGGTGGTGTTTGCCCCAGGCCTGCCCAGGCGTGGACAAGCCCAGGCTCTGCCTTCTGTGCCATGAGTACCCGTCCCGGGACCATCTTCCCAGCCGAGCCTCCCCCTCCGACCACTGCCACTGGGGCAAGATTCCTCTACAGGAAAAGTTTAACGCAGGAGGGACCCCCAAAGCAGTGGACAGCACTACCCCCCACCCCACGTCAGTAAAGCCAGCTCTGGAGGGAGGGCCTATGCAAGGGCCCTCAATCAACATGATCACAGCCTTCCAAGAAAGTGAGTGAGCCTGCTGTCAACACCAAGGAAGGGGTGACAACACCAGGGAAGGGGCCACTGTGTCAAATTCTAAGAGAAGGGAACCGCATGCCCACAAGGCCAGGACCAAGGTCCAGAGACAGCACAAAGACACACTCTGAGTAGGTGAGGGGGTCCAGGAGGATCCCTGAAACACGCACTGCAGGGGCCGAGATGTTCTCGTCACCTAGGAGTAGCACCATTGGCCAGAGAAAAAGAAAAACATTATTTAAAGAAAGAGGAAAGCCAGGCGCTCAGCCAGGATGCAGGAAGTGAAGTGAGAGGAAGCAAGCCTTCCGGTCCAGCCGCAGCTGCTCAGGGAGGGCATCACAGAGACCCGCCTGTGGTGCTGGGAGCAGAGTGGACCCAGGGCGGGCTCGCTGACCGCCCACAAGCGGAAGGTAATGCAAGAGCCAGGTCCTAAAGCACTGGAGTTCACAGAGGGGTGCAGCTGCCCCCACGGCCACCCACCTCAGGGCGCAAGGACCTGCCACCTCACTCCCTCTAGATGCTGACGGGTCCACAGAGAGCAAGGAAGGGGTGATGGCTGCTCTGGCCGAGGGTCACTGAGCAAGACCCCCTCACCACTCGGTCCTTCTGCTGATGCTTCCAATCATGTGGCAAGGGGCAAGAGACAAAAATGAGGAGAAACTCAAGAAAAGTGAAGTTCAACACAAAACACGTGCTCGCACAACTGCCGAGCAGCACAATTCCTAATGGGCATCAGCAGGGGATGACCCATATGTCCACTGACGGGGATGAATACATACGTCCACACACATGGGCATCAGGAGTAGATGGCCCACATGTCCACTGATAGGGATGGATACACACATGTCCACGCACACACACACACAGGCATCAGGAGGGGATGACCCACACATCCACTGATGGGGTCAGATACACATGTCCCCCTACACACACATGGGCAGCATCAGAAGCTCTGACAGTTGCTACCATGTGGACGCACCTGAGAACATGAGAGGAAGAGACACAGAACACATAGTGTGTGATTACACTGATGGGAAACATCCAGAACATGCCGATCCACAAACAGAGAGTGGGTTCCTGGTTGTCAGGGGCTGCGAGGGGGAGCAGGGGTGGCTGCTGACAGGGATGGGGCTTCCTTTTGGGACATGGACTGTTCCAGAACTAGAGATAGGTTGTGGTCGCACTCTCCAGGAAAGTACCTGACCGTGAGTTACCTGCTCACAGCTGAGTTTCACATCATGTAAAACGTGTCTCACTAAAGCTGTTCAGACAACATGCCACCTCCGGCTGTATAGTAGACACATGATAATGGGCGACTGGGCCGTGACTTCCAACAGGCTTCTGGGTGAGGGACCAGTGTCCCCCACGCCCCAGCCTGGGGAGTCCCTATGGCCCCCGGGCTCCACTGTGTCTAGTCACCCCTCAGTCAGGACGTGCAATGACAGCCTGGGTGCCTCAAGCAGCAGCCGTGCCCTGGTGATGCCAGCTGGCTTCAGGGAGGAAGCTTTACCAATACCTGGGTAGTGGGGGTACCAGCAGATGCCAGGACCTGGCAGAGGCCACTTGGGATGCAAACAAGGGCCAGAAAAGTCCAGGCTCCGCTAAAATCCCAACCACTCACTCTCAGGTCCAAGAGCCTACCAGTCACCACTGCTGGCCTGGAGACTGGCACTGAGCACTTGGGCCAGGACGCAAGGCAGGAGCACCAGGAACGCTGATGAGGAGGGAGGCTAGCAGGGCCCCGAGTTGCCAGTCCCGGCTCTGCACAGCTCACCGAGCACATGCATCTGGCACACAGCAGGCACAGGCCCTGAGCTGCCCTCTCACAGAGGGAATGTGGGGTGGGAGAACGGAGACTGTCCCTGCTTCTCAACAGCTGATGGAAAAAAGCCCACAAAGAACAAGACCTTGTGACAGGTGAGAATCCTGGGAGCTGGGCCCACCTGGCCTCCCAGGGGTCGGGGCAGAAGGGTGTACACTCACTGTCTGTACAGGCATGAAGCCCCAGGGCTGCCCCCGGCCAGGGAGACACCAGCGTGGCCTCAGTGGCTGACTGGAAAAACAAGCAGATACAACTCACATGGAAAATGACCCTTTTCATTAAAAAGTTTTTGGATTGGTAAAGAGAAGTTCGAAGGTGTCAGTGTTAAAACGACGACTGCTTTCTTTTTCACTTCTTGATGCTTTTCTGAGTCTTCCTATTTTACAACAAGAACAAGTTAGCAGGACTTCCCTGGCAGTCCAGTGGCTAAGATTCCGAGCTCCCAACGCAGGGGGTCCAGGGGTTCCATCCCTGGGTTGGGAAGATCCCCAGAGAAGGGCATGGCAATACCCTCCAGTAGAAAACTCACAAACAGAGGAGCCTGGCAGGCTACAGCCCATAAGGTCGCACAGAGTCAGACACGACTAAGTGACTTACACACATAAAAAAAAGAACAAAGAGGGTTAGGCACAGACCACAGCAGCCCTCCTGGGAGAAGCCACAGGAGGGGAGACTTCCTCTGTCACACACTGCATTTCTTAAGGAATGCGTTCAATCCCAACTGGAGCTGCGGGACTCCTGAGGCTTTTCTGGAAAGTTCCGGACACTCCACTCCATGAGAAGAGCCTGGAGTTGAGTTTATTAAGTCTCTCCAAGACAAAGGAGCCTTTTTTTCCCCCTGTAGCTGCCTTGGCGGCAAGGCTGACCCAGAAGCCTGGATCTTGGGGCCCTGCTTGAGCACCCACACAAAGCAGTCCAGCACGTATCATCAGGATTCGGGACAAGGGAACAGGATGCTCAGAGCAGGGCTCGCCCTCACGACATTCAGGAAGGAGGCGTGAGGGTTCTAACCTGAAGGCACACACCCAGCGGCCCCTCCCAGCACCAGCCCGCAGGTGGCCGGCACAGGGCCAGAGCTGTGTTCGGAGAGGGGAAGACCTGTGCCTCTGGGGCTGAGAAGGACGAAAGGGTCCGACCCTGCAGCTGTGGCACCTCACAGCGACCCCCAGGCCGCTGTGGATGCCAACAACCCTGCCTCCCCAGGCTCAGTCTCCCCAGGGCTTCCATCGATAGACACTGTTTCCACAGCTCCTGAGACCACAGCTGATGGCTCAGGAAACCAGAACTGGGAGCCGTGATCCTCTGTCGGGTGGCCAAGCAGGAGGGAATCTCTGGGTGGTGATCGCCCTCTAACTTGACCTTGGCCACGTACATTTGCAGATGGGGAGGGGCTTCCTCAGGTGTGCATCACCCTTTGGAAGAACTTGGCACTCACCCACCTGACACCTCTCCCTCATCTCAGGCTGGAACATCTGCAGATGTTCCAGGTGCACGCCCCTGGTCCCCCACTTTCTCTGAAGCCCCCGGGATGGCCAGCAGTGGCTGGGGCGGCCCTAACCAAACATCAATTGGTGCTGGAAATGAGCCTGGCCCCTCCCAGCTTGGGATGCAGCAGAGCGTAAGGCACCAGACACTAGGGCAATCTGCGCCAACTCCATCCAGGAGGGCCTGTCCAGGCTGGAAGAGTCCAGCATCCCACTCCTGGGACAGACTCAGGGATGAGGCCTAAGAGGAGCTAGGAGGACAAGGACCAGCCCTGGAGAGTATGTGTGTGTGGGGGGGGTTCCCTTTCTGCCAGCAGCATCCAGAAGCCCACTGCCCCTCAACCTGCAGTGGTGGCCAACTGGCAGCCCAAGGGTCACCTCTCCCCCACACACTTCTGGATTAAGGAGAAAAGGTGACTCAGAGAAACAGGGAGTGGGGATTGGATCAGAAGTGTGACCTAACTTAGCCTACAGGAGGGCACTGGCACCCACTGTCCCCTGGCCTGTCTCGTCCAGGACACTGGTGGCCCCTGCCTAACCCTCACCATGCAGATGACAGATGGGCACAGAGAACTGGCTGGGCTGATCCTGCCCTTGCTGAGGGTCCATGGCTGGGGCACGGTCCACAGCCGGTCTGGCCCCACTGCCCTGCTCTCCAGGTGTCCCACAGAAGACAGAAGCAGCTGGGTGCTCACTGTCAAACTGCCCGGAGAGCAGGGGGGCCGGGGGGAGGGGTGAGAGTGATCAGGGAGCAGCACTCCCAGGACTGGCCAAGGTCACCAGCCAGTCCTGCCGCCTGGCCCGTTAGATAAAGCCCTGGGCTGGGGTAGGGTGGGATCCCCAGGCAGCAGAGATAAGGAGGGGGTGTCCCCTCCCAGAGCCAGTAAAAAGGACAGAGGCAGGGCTCCCACCACCTCAGGGATGCCTATGGCCAGACAGGCACCTGAAAAAAATCTGTGTAAAAAGTTTGCGGGGACACAAGCCGACCCCCACTTCTCAGGAGCCACCAAGCCTGCAAGTCGTGGATGTGTCCTGTGGCACATCCCAGGCGAGTGAGAAAGGGCCAAGTTCCCCCCTGCAGACTGATAAACCGGTGCAAACAATTATTTTTGGCAACCGCAGCGTCCCCCTCCAACAGGGTAAACAAATGGCGTGTCCCAGCCCTAGTAACAGCCTCACGCTGGGAGGAAACCTGCTGGCGGCAGGCACAGCCCTTCCGAACCCAACTGCTTTTGGTTTTCCGAAGCCAAACCAACACTGGCCACCTCCACCGGGTACCTGAGCCCTCCGGACAGCTAAAAGGGCACAGGGGGAGAGGGACTCCCCCTTCCGAGCAGTGCCCCACAGCGGCTGAGAGCCCAGGACGCCCAGCCGCAACGAGCGATCCTGACTTCACCAAAGTCCCCCAAAGTGTTGCCCACGACTCTCCCTGGCAGATCGACTCGGGGTGCTTAAGGAAACGGAGGACGAAAGAAAGTAACCGAGAGGAGAAGGGAAGAGGAAGGGAGGGAAGGGGAAAGGAGGGGGCCGCCCAGCGGCGCGCGTCCCCACCCAGGAAGCCCGCACTTACTTCTTCACGTTGGCCTCCCCGTTGGGGATCCTTCGCAACTTCTTCTTCTTGAGGATTTTGACGGCTCTTCTGCACAGTGTCTCCGAGTCCAGCACCTCCTTCACCTTGCCGTACGACCCCTCCCCCAGCAGGTCCCCCATCAGGTACTTTCCGATGAGTTTGGCCCGCTTGCGGCGGGGCTGGTAGATGACCTCGGTGGAGTCGATCCGGTGGATGAATGTGTCCATCCCCACCGACATCAGCTCGCCCTCTGTAAACATGCCCAGATGCTGCGGGTCCGCCACCTCCATCCTGAACTCCAGGCCTATGTCTCCGGCCGGCGGTCCCTTATCCCCTTTGTGAACTTCGCGGGGAGCGGTTCTTCCTTTTGTTTTCCCCCCCACCCCGCCTCAAAATTCCCTTCTCCAAAATTAAAAGTCAACAAAATCGAAAAAATAAGAGAGAGAGGAAAAAAAAAATAAAGGAAAACCCTCTTGGAAAAGAAACGATTGTACTGAACGTAAGTTCAAAAGGCGCGGCTGGTCCAGAGCCCGGGCACCCGGGCGTGCGCAGCGTCCCAAGTTTGAGGGCCGCCCGACCTCGGAGCTTCGGGGCGGGCAGGCGCGTCCACGGGGGCCCTCCGGAGGCCGGTGGGGCCGCGAAGTGCTAGGTCATCCTCCAGGGACTTTAGACCCTCGAACGAACACGGACGCGGCCGGGCCGAGTCTTCTCCGCGCCGTCCATTACCAGTGGGCCATGGCGCGCGCCCGGGGACCCGAGCAGGCCAGCTCTGGGGCTCCCAGAGCTGGGCAGGTGAGCTTTGCCGGGGGCAGGGCGCGCAGCTCGGTGGCGTCTCCCGCCGTCGGGGGCGCCCGAGACGCCGGCAGGTGCGTATCCGGGGCGCGCGGGGCACCTTCGTCCAGCTCGGCCGGCTCCCGCCAGCGCCGGGGCTGCCCGGGGCCCGCCGGCTGCAAGGAGCAAGCCTCGTCCGAGCCAGCCGCCGCCCGGGCGCCCGCACACCGGCCCGGGACACCGAGCGACCGCGCGGGCCCGGCGGGCGCCCTGCCCCAAACGGCAGCCCGCGCTCGCTCTCCGCCCGAATGCCGTCGGTCGCGGACGGCGGGGCGCGCGGGGCTCCGGGCAGCCGAGGCGGCGCAGGCCGCAGGCCCCGGACCGGGGTTCCCGGGGTTGCCGGGGCCCGGGCGGCGCGTATCCCGCCGCGGCTGCCGCGCGCGTGGAGCAGGCGGGGCGGCGCGGGGGCCCAGCCCATGCAAGGCGGCCGCGCTGCCGGCCGGCGCCCGCCGCCGCTACCGCCGCGCCCCGCCTCAGTCGCGGGCGCCCCGGGCCTCCTCCCCCTTCCGCGCCCGACACGCCGCCGCCATCTTGTTTACCTCCTCCCCCGCCCTGCACCGCCTCTCCGTCGCACGCCCGCCGCGGGCCCGCCCCTCGCGACGCCGACGTGCACGCCCGTTGGCCTAGCCGACCAGCCCCGCCCCCGCAGCGAACCCTGCCGCCAGCGCCCATTGGGCCATTTGGACCCGGGCAGACCCTGCAGCGGGGATTGGTTCTCGTTTGGTCCCGCCCCAGGGGTGGTTACTGCTCTCTCATTGGCCCGCGGGTACGCCCGTCAAGTGGAGGGGGCGGGAAGCAGGCTCTGGGAGGTGAGACAGTGGCGTTGACCTAGCTAAGATCGGAGTTCACAAAGGCCAAGGGGCGCCTCGGACCGGGAGTCGGGGGAGGGTGTCTGGGCGTAGCCCTGGCTGGTCGGTTGCAGCTCACAGATGCTGGTGGGCGCCTGCTAGGGTCTGTCCCCCCAAATCCCGTTTGAAGCGAGGTCAAGGGTCAAAAAGTAGCCGAAAGTGGCCAACTGAAGGCAAAAAACCTTTTATTAAGCATCTCTCAGACCAGACGGGGCGAGAAGTGCGCTGGACCATCTCTACCCTAAAGAATCTCACGGGGTAAAACGCAGTACTCAGCTGACATGGTGCCAGCAAAGTGCTTTGGATGAAAAATACTGAGATGGCAAAATACTAGGGCTTGATGAAACTGAAAATTCCTCCAGGCCTCTGGGGTTTTTCTACCTTTCTGTTTTTTATCACTTGATTATTTTGCCAGAGCAAACTGCTTGTCTTTAGTGGGAACGGTGGGGGCTGACACCGTCAGATTTGGGCTCCAGGCTGCGAGTTCTGAGCCTGACACCTGTGGACTGCCTAAATCTATGTGTGAAATTTAGTGTGTCCTTGTGTGTGTTCTTGGGGACATCTAGGACTTGCATCAGATTCTCAAATGACCTACAGAAGGCGGGTTGCTGTGGCTTTGGGGGTGGGGGGACCACAAGTCACACCAACCTACCAGCAAGCCCTAATCAGAACATGTAGATTAGCCCCAAATTCCTTTTCCTTAATCATAAACAGCAGAGCAGAAACCAATGAAGCAGAATTGAAAAAACAAACAAACACAGGGAAAACTGATGAAGCCAAAAGACTATTCATTGAAAGGATCAAAACAACTGATAAAACTCTGGCCAGACTAAGCAAGAAAACTAGTTGACCTAAAATGATTAGATATAGGAACAACTCTATGTCCAAAATTCAATAGGAAATTGACCAACACCTGAAAAGACACTAAAATGAAAACTCTATGAAGAAGAAATAGATAATCTGCATAGTCTTAGATCTATTAGAGAAATTAAATCTGTAGGGGAAAACCTTTCAACAAAGACAATTAAGGCCCAGATGTTTTCATTCATGAATTTCCATCAAACATTTTGGGAAGGACTTCTCTGCTGGTCCAGTGGTTAATTAAGAATCTGCCTGCCAATGCAGGACACACCAGTTCAATACCTGGTCCAGGAAGATTCCACATGCATCAGGGCAGCTTACCCCCTGTGCCACAAGAACTGAGCCAGCACTTTAAAGCCTGTGCACTGCAATATGGGAAGCCCCAGCAATGAGTAGCTCCCACTCTGAGGCAACTAGAAAAAGCCCACGAACAACAATGAAGACCCAAGGCACCCCCCCCAAAATTTTTAATAATAAAAAATTGTAAGAAGAAATAACATTAGTTCTAAACAATCTTGCAGAAAACAGAGGCAACACTGCCCAACTCACATTCCTTTTGGTATTTTCTATGTTTTTAACTGCTGACTTATGCCCAACTTTCTTAGAGTCTGGGGGTATTTGATAATTTTGACATCCCACTCTCCTTCACTCCACCCCTCTCCTGATGTGCAGGACACATGGAAGGACATAGGAATGTTTGGTGATCATTGCAGAAAGAGTACGTGAAGGTGAACTCTTGGCTCAAATGTGATCTCCTCCAAGAAGTCCTCCTGGTCATTCCCTCCAATGTAGCCCCTTTCATGTTTAGTTTTCTTCTTAACACTTGTCACCAGCAAAAATTATCTTATTTATATATATATATTTTCCCCATATTTCTTTAGTCTCTGGAACTGCACTGGGAGCTCTCTGGGGCTGAGGCTAGATATGTCTTGGCCACTGCTGTATCCTCAGCAACTTGAGCTGTCATTCAGTACAATAGCCACTGGCCACATGTGTCTGTTAAGCTCCTATAATGTGGCTGCTGGAATTGAGATGTGCTGTGAGTGTAATACACACTGGATTTATATATACATATATATATAATGTATTTCTCTTTGATTGCACTGGATCTTTGTTGCTATGCTCGGGCTTTCTCTAGTTGTGAGTGTAGGCTACTCTTCATTGTGATGCATGCACTTATCACTGCAGTGGCTTCTCTTACTGCAGAGCACGGCCTCTAGAGTATAGGTTCGGTAGTTGTGGTGCATGGGTTTAGCTGCTCCTCGGCATGTGGGATCTTCCCGGACCAGAGACTGAACTGGTGTCCTTGCATTGCAAGGCAGACTCTTAACCACTGGACTACCAGGGACGCACTACACACTGGATTTTGAAGGCCTAATGTGAAGGGGAAAAAAGTATGTATGATGTTTACGTACGGGGCTTCCTGGTAGTTCAGCGGTAAAGAATCTACCTGCCAATGCAGGAGATGCAGGTTCAATCCCTGGGTCAGGAAGATCCCCTGGAGGATTAAATGGCAACCCCGCTCCAGTATTCTCGCCTGGGAAATCCCATGGACAGAGGAGCCTGGCAGGCCATAGTCCATGGGGTTGCAAAAGAGTCGGACACAACTTAGTGACTAAAGAACAACAACAATATATGTGTATATCTTATTAATAACTGTAATATGAAAACAATAACATATTGATCGCATATTGAAGTGATAAATTTTGGATATATTAGGTTAAAAGAAATATATTATTAAAATTAACCACTTCAGGGAATTCCCCAGTGTCCCAGTGGTTAGGACTGGGTGCTTTCACTGCCTGGGCCCAGGTTCAGTCCCTGTTTGGGGAACTAACATTCTGCAAGCCACAGGGTGCAAACAAAACAATAAATTAAATAACATAAAAGTAACACTTCATTGGAGAAGGAAATGACAACCCATTCCAGTATGCTTGCCTGGAAAATCCCATGGACAGAAGTCTCCTGGGCTATAGTTCATGGGGTTGCAAGAGTCTGATACAACTGAGTGACTAAACAACAACAAAACCACTTCATACCCACTATGATGGTTATAATTTGTTAAAAATGGAGTATCATGGAGAAGGAAATGGCAACCCACTCCAGTACTCTTGCCTAGAAAATCCCATGGACGGAGGAGCCTGGTGCAGGCTACTGTCCATGGGGTCACAAAGGGTCGGACACAACTGAGCGACTTCACTTCAGGACTAAGTTTAAAATAAAGTTAATTAGGTTTACCTTTTAAATAAAAAAAAAAAAATGGAGTATCAGCAAGGATGTGAAGAAACTGGAACTTTCTTATAGATGGTATAGCCAGGTTGGAAACAGTTGAAAGGTTAACATTGAGTCACCATCTGGCCCTGTAATTCCAATCTGAGATTTCTGCTCAAGAGAAAGAAACATACATCCACATAAGAACTTGTACACGGATGTTTACAGCAGCACAATTCACAATAGTCAAAAAGTGGAAACAACCCACATATCCAGCAACAGATGATGGACAAACTGATCATGGCATGTCCACATATTGCAATATTGTTCAGCATGAAAAGGACAGAGGCACTGACATACATGGATGAACTTGAGAACTCGATGCTCAGTGAGAGAAGCCAGACATAGAAGGAATCACACAGTGTGTGATTCCATTGATGGAAAACGTCCAGAACAGGCAAGTCCCCAGACAGGAGAGTGAATTCCTCCTTGTCAGTGTCTGGGGTGGGGATGGGAGTGGGGTGGAGGGGGTGGCTGCTGACATGGGCGGGGCTTCCTGTTGCTCTGAGTGGGGAGTAAGAGTACCGTATGTCATGAAATACAAGAGGCCATTGGAAGTGAGGTGTGCTATTACTTTATGAATCACCATGAAAAGGAAAGACTTAACAGTCAGAGATGACACTCTGGATCCAGAGAGGCAGCCTGACCTCTGGGACAGTAAACTGTGACAAATGGGATTATTAATAGACATAGGCAATAAGTATGAATATTTATGGTAACCCTGGGGAAAAACAGCTTTGACGAAAAGTTCTCACCCTCACCATTCTTCAGGTTTTTTTTTTCCTTCAGGTTCTACTAAAGACGCTGGGTTATAGGTTGGAACCCAGGGTTGGGTTTCAGGTTATCACTGAGAGGCCCCAGTTTCTAGGTGGGGTCCTCAGGTTACATGTGGAGGCTCTAGGTTACAGGTGGGGGGCCCAGGTTATAGCAAGGGGTCCCAGGTTATAGATAGGAGTCCCAGATTATAGGTACGGAGCCCGAGGTTACAGGTGGGAGGTTTCAGGTTATAGATGGGGGCCCCAGGTTATACTGGGAGACCCAAGGTTATGGGCTCATGTTAAAAGTGAGGGGCCCCAGGATTGAGGTGGAGACCCCAGGTTATAAGTAAGGGCACCAGGTAATAGCTGGGGGAGCCAAGGTACAAGTGGCGAACACCTAGTTATAGACTGGAGCCCCAGGTCATAGCAGGGGGCCCTGGTTACAGGTGGAGAACTCCAGGGCATATATGGGTGGCCTCAGATTATAAATGGAGAGCTGTAGCTTACAGGGAGAGGCAGGTTATACTCAGACCCCTCTAGGGCTCAGTCGTCCCCTCTGCCTACCCCACCCCTCACACCTATCGTTTCTCCCCACCCCCTACAATTCTCACAGACACGATGCACAGCTGGTCCCCAGACCCGTCTGCTCCTTCTCACTCCTCTGGCTGACCCCCTTGCTT